GTTGTATTCACCGAATAATTATGGTTATTCTACAGCTCCACCTTCGATAACATCAACACTATATCGATACTCCTAGTGCTTCAGATATTCAACACTAGTATCAATATTCCTAGTGCTTCGATTATCAACACTAGTCTTATATTCCTAGTGCTTCAGATAATACCAACACTAGTGTCAATATTCCTATGCTTCAGATATATTAACACTAGTTCATTAATCCTAGCCTTACAAATTCCAACAACCCAATATTGAAACATCTGCACGACCCAGCCAATGAAAATGCTCATTTTGAGACAATTACGATTTTTAAATTAATATAACATGGCTTCTATAACTGTATGCAAAAATAAAAGTTACTTTGATTTAAAATTTACTTACTTTAAACACACCGCTAATCTTTCACGCTACTAATTGAATTTCTTAATTTGTGTCTTGTTTCAATATATGGTTCAATCAGGGAGTGAAGTTCATAAAAAGTACATCTTGAAACTCTATAAGAATTTTCGAAAGTTTCTTCATCAGCTGTTTGGAAAAAAGTAAAATATTCACTTGTTCTGAACGATGTTTGATATGATTTCTTAACCAAAATCTATGTTTCCTCATAGAATTGTTCAAATGGTATATGGTAAGTATTTCGGCTTCTTCTGACTCCAACTCTTCTTCCTCAAGCAATGTAAGGTAATAATGTATCAACTTTTTCGATGGCATGTCTGCTATCACTACATTTCGCGTAGAATTAAACCAATCGCCCCACCCGAGCTCAAATCACTCGTCCTACTTGCTGCCTAGCTCCGCATATTGAAAAACACACAACTCCGCTCCGCATTACTTCCTCACTCCGCTCCCAGCCTCGCTCCGCTCGGTGGACAGTCACAGTACGCAACTCCACTCCGCATTAGTCCGTTTCTCGGCCCTCCTCGCTCCGCTTTGGACTGGCGCCTTAGCTTTAGTATACGTCGATGGAAGTAGTAAAAGTCAAATAATACATGAAAGTGATCACATTATGTGCCAGCTCATCCGATCTATGTGTGAAAAAAAAGGGTTTATAAAATCAGATCATCCATTGCCAAAACTTATTTTAAAAAGGTTCAAAACGGAGATATGCTAGAAGTTGATTGTGAATGTTATGTGTTAAATATATTTGATGGAATTCTGCTTGAGTGTTCTCTTTACAGTGCAGATGAAAAAGCGTCGTGCACTAATTCAACCTGCCCTATAAATGAAGTAGTTAGAAAAGTGTCTGTTTTACGTTTACTTGATTTACTTGTAAACGATATTGAAGAAGCAGCGAATAGACAAATGCTCGATACACCCACCATTATACCATGCCGTCAAGCAACTTGCGATGGTATAAGTTTTGAAATATCGGTTGAAACCGTTTCTGTTTATGAAGCACCAACAAACCTATTTTTACAGGGTAACGAATATGAATTGATTTCAATAATTGAATTTGTTCCGCCTGCTATTGGTACAATGGGCCACTATAAAGCACATTGTAGACGTGAAAATGTATGGCAATGCTACGATGATATTGATATTAGAATACAAGGTTAATAAGAAGTTATAATAAAAAATAATTCCACACTTTACTGTATACGTTAAAAAAAGGAATAAGATTAAATTAATTAAAAAGACTTAAGAAAAATTAATGAAATTGGTATAATACCTATTTGTATTACCTATACCAATTCATTTTATGTTATTTTCTCTTGTATTCAATATAAAAAAAAGTTATTCCTTTACTTGGTGAAAGTTTTTACCGTTAAAGTACATATACCTAGTGGGTTCTGTTACTACCTACCTATATTTATATAAATAAACCATAATTAAACTTCGGACTTAAAAAAACAGTCGGACGGGAATCAATAAAATCTGTGAAGGCGATTTGGACTGCCCCATCAGAGTTAAATTTTTTCCCTTGCAAGAAGTTGTCCAAATTTCGAAAAAAATGGTAATCTGTTGGAGCAAGGTCCGGGGAGTACGGAGGATGTCTTAGACATTCCAATTGAAGCTCTTCTAATTTGGTAGCCGTCTGTTGTGCAGTGTGTGGTCTAGCGTTGTCTTGAAGTAGCAGTGGCGTGGAGCGATTGACCAGCCTAGGTTGTTTAGCCGCTAGCTTTTCCATCATGGTTTGCAATTGCTGACAATAGACATCAGCCGTAATAGTCTGGCCAGATTTGAGAAAACTGTAACTAACAATACCGGCACTAGTCCACCAAACGCTTACAAGTAACTTTTTTGGGGTTAATTTTCGCTTGGGGCAGGATTTGGCTGGCTGGCCAGGATACAACCATTGCGTTGAGCGCTTCCGATTATCGTAAAGAATCCATTTTTCATCACAGGTAAAGATTCGGTTTAAAATACCTTCATTATTGTGCTCCTTCAGTAATGTAACGCAGCAGTCGACGCGCGTTTGCCGGTTTGCTTCAGTCAATTCGTGAGGTACCCATATTTCAAACTTTTTAATCTTCCCAATTTGCTTCAAGTGAATTAAAACAGTTTTATCACTAACACGGCAGCCTGTAGCTAACTCGGACGTGGTTTGCGATGGATCCGCTTCCACAATAGCCTTCAATACTTCATTATCAACTTGGGTCTCAGGCCGTCCACGGGGCTTGTTCTGCAGGTCGAAATTTCCAGAACGAAAACGTTGGAATCAAAAACGAACTGTGTTTTCTTTTGCAACATGACCGCCATACACATCATTCACCCTTCGAGTCGTTTCCGCAGCACTAGTGCCACGGCGGACCTCGTACTCGTAAATAATGCGATACTTTAAGTTTTCCATTTTGTAAAATGAGTGACGCAAACAGAAAAAAACAAATGAATGACGGTCATCGAAGCAGAAATACATGAGTAAATAGCTGAACAGATTTGAATTTGGAATTCCTTACCAAGGAGGAGAACATCGCGATTAAAGTGGCCAGTACGAAAAACGCCAATTTCATATGTAAGGACCTAATATATACAGACGAAATTAATATGAAAAAATATAAGCAATATCAGATGATGACTTAGCTGTAACATTGTGTTGTTTTCATGCAAGAGGGAAGCGGCGAATGACTACCTTTCTTAATTTTTATTTATAAAACCCCAAAAACATTTAAGATTATTAGGAATACTTGCCTCAATATTTCGCTTATATTTAGTATAGCAATCATCGTAAAGTTTGTGACGTTTTCTAGTAATTTTCAATATCGTTTCAGTAGATCCAGAGATTACTCTAACGCTTTAATTGATTAAATACATATTCTAGGAAAAAAACAAGAGACGTAGAACAAAAATATCTATGTTATCCGTTGATAGACATATAAATAAGCAAATGTTGATAATCTGGCTTGGATTTTTTTAGGAATAAAATACATCTAGAATTCCAAGAACAGCACCGGAACAAGTCAAAAGAACAAAATTTTATTTATTGACGCTTACTTATGTAGTTGCCTAAGATATTATAACAGGAGTTTGCAAAAGCTATTTTAAGGTAATGTAGTCTTGCAATCTCTAGTGCAGTACATAATATTTGTTGGGTACTCGACGAGATCTCGGGAACCTTTAAATATAAGTTTGGGATGCTATCGCTACGGTACTTGATGGTAGAATTCAATTGGGTAATGGTAATTTTTTTTTACTGTTTTCCGTTTTGGCTTTATTTATTTTTATTGTACTGATCGTGTCATACAATTACTTATTTAGCTAATATTGTTGTTTCAAGGACGGTGATATATAAGGACATACAGTATCAGAAAGTAAAAAGTACAAGAAAGTATTAAAATACCATCCGTATCACCTCGACGTCCGTCGTTCCACAACAGAGCGTTTTCTAAGGCAGTTTTTGCCTCGCACCACCACTATGTAGAATCAGCTGCCCACATAAGTATTTCCGAACCAATTCGACTTAGGGTCCTTCAAGAAAAGAGCGTACCAATTCTTGAAAGGCCGGCAACGCACTTGCGAGCCTTCTGGCATTGTGAGTGTCCATGGGCGGCGGTATCACTTAACATCAGGTGAGCCTGCTGCCCGTTTGCCTCCTATTACATTAAAAAAAAAAGTATTACCAACAATAGTTTATGTATAAAAAAAATTGCAATGGAACAAAAACATTACGGTGGTACAATCTGCCACATATAATGGCATGCAAGTTTGTCTTACATAATTAGAAGGTAGAAGTTAAAACATAGTAGATTACATATTAAATTATTAATAGTAGCATTGTAAAATATTATATTATTTTATCACCACGTCATCACATTATTATAATATATTATTACATCATCAAATTAATATTAATTATAAAGTTTCACTCAAGTAATCATTATTACTTATAATGAAACATTTTTCCAAAAGTAGTATATTAAGTCCTTACCTTGATTGCCACAGAAGAAGTGTTTTTCCTACACAATTCCAGATTAATTTTTGGATTAACCAATTCTTCTTCATGATTAATTTTTTGCATAATCAAAGCTTCTTAAACAAAATTACACAACTATTAAGACTGTGCTTCCCACATTCCTCTTATACATTTTTTTAGATTTAATACCCTATTTACTACGACTGAATAAAATACAATTCCATGTATAAGTAATAGTTGAAATATATGCTTGCTAAGCAGTCAACATAATGCCAAAATACCTATCTATCTCCACATATAGCGTAAGTATAATTCTGGGATCACATACGAAACCTAAGTAACGGTTAAATGATGAATTTAATCGGTACCTAAATTGTACTCCTCTTAATGTATTTTATTAAACTAGGTTCCATACTCCCCATTTCTATTTTGCAAGAAAGAAATAAGACTTACAATAACGCTAAAAACGTTTTTGTGAGTATAGTAAGAATTACCAACAGGATATTTTATAAGAGAGAAGTCAATAAAGACATAGCTACCTAGAAAACAGTTTTGATTATGAAAGAAATACATAAAAACTGCGCTGGTTGATATACCTAGTAGAAAAAAATATGATAAAATAATAACAAGTAGGCTTCAATGACCTACAGTATTAAAGGATTGTTTTACTAAGGTAACAAGTATACATATATATATTACGTTTACGCACTTCCCTTACGCCTCCATCGCCGCTAAGGTGGGGTTGTACCTCCACAATGTTTTGGTGTGAAGAGAAAGTCGCGAAGTGGTGGCTTGGTGGCTCCAGGCCGTAGCGGATTCCGCGGCCGCGGCCGACGGCGACAGTCGGCCAGTTTGCGAAATAATGCCACACAATTTCGGCAGTGACTAGAGATGCCGCACAAATAAATAGTGCCAAAATTATCGCGTCCGACATCCAACGACAATGTGCGAATGGCGTTTGGTGGTTTTCATTCACGTGCTCCTTGTTTGCTCGATCCGGGCAAGGGAAATAAATTCGTCGGATAACCCCCTCGATAACCACGTGAGTATTTATCGGTTGTTGCGGTAGGTGCATTGCACTGCACTTTTACTTTCCACTGAGCGCATTCACTTCTCAACCGATACTGTTTGATATTGAAACTTGTTTAACATAAATATTGTTTTTGTCAGGATTTGCCTATAAGAATATTTGTTTTAATATCTAATTAAATAGCTCTATATTTACTAAATAAAAAAACAATATCAGCTCCATAATTATGAAATAATTACGAATCCTTGACTTTTGCGGTAGAGCTGGGTTACTTTGCGCAGTTATATTATTTTAATTTAATTGATATTTATGCAGGTCAAGGATTAACACTAATTTGGTGTGTTTTAAGAAGTCCATATTTGAGAACGTGAGACATAAATTATGAAGACGTAATTAACATAGCTTAGATATTATTGGAAATATACTCATAAATTGAAATCGAAATAATTTAAGACATTTAATAATCTTAATATATGTGCGTATTGCATCGATAACTCATACAAAGTTAAATGAAACGAAACGATACAATCGGCATACATATATTCTAAACATTATCAATTTGGGGAAGTCAGGTAATAATACCAAAGCATTATTCAGTCAATCGGCGACCATGCATGCTGTAAAGCACGCGAAACGTCAGAACAATTCGAAATTCAAATTGAATATTAAAGGTTTTTTAATTCGGTAGTTTTTATATTCGCGTAAGTAACATAATATAAATTATACCAGTTACCAGCACGTTACATTATATAGTTTTAGATAGCTAATTGTTTATAGCTCTGTTTCATTTCATTGATGATGATGTGATTTTGATTATACAACATATTGTTAATTGCAAGCTCAATAAAAGCGGACGTTCTACTTTCGCTTTTATTTTATTATTCTTACTTGCGTTTCTTTTTTCCATTTAGCTGTAAACGAATTCAGTGATAATAATATTATAAGGTACCTCAGACACAGAAGTCTGATCATTTATTTAATAACGGGGATTACCTTATATGCAATAAGAAAAAAGGATTTAATTTTCTGTGAAAGCTTGCCTCCTTCCGGAAGCTGGGGCCGTCGCTGGATTCTTAAAGTGATCTTGACGTGTATTTGTTGATTGCTTTTCCATCTACTAGGATAATGTATTACTATTTCTTTCGCTGCAAGGCAGACCTATAGTGAGGGCTCTCTACCCACTAGCCCAGTAGGAATTCGTCGGCGATTTTTCTCTTTAGATCATTTTTGAATTAGTTTTACTTAAAACTCAGCGTCAGTACGCCTATTTCTGGACTAGTGCATCATGCGCGTTTACACCATTTGGTGTTTATGAACATATATCATTAGGTCACGCTTAACAAAACAAAAGGCACGATGATGTGTAACACACGCATTTATACATTTAAATACAGAAAAAAAAATATGAGACAAAAGCATCTCTAAAAATCTTAAAATCTTTGGATAATGGTGCTTATTTGGCAGTCCAACTGGCATTCGGTCCCACTTCTCCTGCCACACACTCCTCCCATTACCAACTGCCTGCCTTGGTTATCCCAATTGGCCAATCGATAGTCCACTGCTTTGGTGATTTTAGTTGGATTGACAATGGACGTATTAGTTCTTTCCACAGCCCAGGTTTTCCCAAACATTTTCCCAACCCACATGATCTAATGCCTCACTTTTTTTTTTGAATTGACCAGGAAAATATGGGAAAATACCAAAGTTCTGACGAGTCGGCTGTACCAGTTAGAACATAAAATATTTACAATGCGATCAATATTTATGGACAGAGACAATACCGGCAATGGAAGTTTAATCCAAATGTCTCCTACTATTATCTATTCCTTGTTACATTGTTAAATTTATTGCTTTGCAGATTATTCAGTTGTAGTAATGTAAATTACGAGCCAGTGTGATAATACAGTATAAGTCGCAGCACGTAACTTGGCCAAATGTAGCGTGGCGGGGAAAGTTCGCGCATATAATTTTTGTAGGAAAAACCTAATAAACGACTTCTGACCGAGTGGTTCTGACTAATTTATTTGTCGGAAGTTATAGTAGCTACACAATCTCCTTGCAATAATTCTATAGTATTACTAATCGTCATGATATTTAAATTCACACATTTCCATAGAAATGCTACTGAAACTTTAAAAAAAAACTATTTTTGTACATACATAGCTCGCCAGCTATTATAAAATATAATTCAATTTATTTTCTAATTAATTCATTACTTTATAATATTTTTATTAATTATTTTAAGTGTATTTATAATGCAAGCAAATTTAGAACAGTAATAAATGATACGAACTGTAATAGAACGAAGAAGAAATATATAAGGCATATTATTTTATGGCAATACATATATTTACGTTAAACATTAGCTATCAAGCCGTACTAGCGGATTTATTGATTCACAAACCCTCTGGGAAGTGGATTTTAATTGGACACACGATAATGCAAATAGGAATTGTTTTATTATTTCAGAATGTTTTTTAAAGAAAAGTAGAAGGTACAGTACGGTACGGTATTACTCATGACGGGATTAATTTTAAATTAATAGTTTATTAAAAAAGCATTGTTTAATATATAACAGGTTAACAAAATTTTCCAAAAGATACATGTTTTTACAATTTCTGTGTCAACTTGGTTCTTCTATATTGCCATAAACTGATTACATAAAAAACGTGTCCCAGCCGCCGGATGTAGTAAAAACTAAATTTCTGAAGCCTGTGACTCTAGCTATTTGTCTAGTTTGTCTAAAAAGTGTTTATGTCCTGGATCTCCCTTTTGGGTTTTTTATAACCATTTTTTTACTTTTAAATGTATTTTGGCTGTGAACAGCATCTATATCTACAAAGTATCTTAACTATAAGACTTTATTTGACCATCAAACCTAATTTATGTAATATATATGATGTCTATCTATTTTATACTAAAATAATACGTAAATTTACGTTTTACGAGGAATTTGTTTTTCAAAAAATTTAATGTGTTTGTAATATAGTGAAATCCCGTTTACGGATTTGTAGGTTATTATGAACTAACATTTCTTTAAAAAAATTATTTATGGGCTACAGTTGCGTAACGTCAATTAAGAACGTAAAAATATTTATATAATTCCAATATCCGGTTCCGACGATTTGTTCTAGATTTCTTTGTTAACGGCTTCACACGCGAACCATTGCCTTAATATATTAATCACTTAGATGTTAATTACTTGTAGTTATCAATAATTTCTTTCACTACATGATTATTAAATGTTTGATTTTGTCAGTTGATGTTAGCTGATCATAGATGGCGCTAAGCGTAAACGGAATCAATATAGACTTAGATTTGTTTAATTGCTACAATCTCTAGAAGAATTATTCATAATTTTAAATAGCCTGTTTCTACATAATAAATAGGAAAGGAAAAATAACGGGCATTATGTCTTCCAGGTTAGTTATAAAATTGCTGAGAGCTGTACCTCTACACAAAAATATATTGCCAAGACAGTGTCGTTGATTATACTCAAATGTAATATTTGTCTAATTCACCGTAAAATTAATAGATTTTTACTTAAATGTCAAGGAAAATCATTTAGCAATAATAACAGCTCTTTTAATAGTGGCGTATAAAAGGAGGAAAAACGTTAAAATATATTTAATCGATGTCAATCAAATTCACTTTCTTTTGATAAGCCGTGTAATAAAACAAGAATAACACAATTACCTCGTGAAAGGCAAAGAAAAGTAGATTAGCGACCTCACGAATTCGGAGCCATTACAGGTACATAGCGAACAAAAAACGTACTAATTTCTTTTATAGAAAGCGAATACTTTTTTCGATGCTCACTTACTCTATGGATGATTGGTGTGTTCTATGAATAGTTAGAAATAAATAAAAAGTAATTACCTTTTCTTTAAATATATTGACCCAACAAACCCCCCGCTCGTTCGATTAAGGAAAAAACAGAAAAGGCTAATCGTGAAAAATTATCATGAACAATACGCTGATTACGCTCATACGCTAATATGTTGATTATACAATCTCAAAGTTTAGTTGATTTGTATGGGATTCATCATTTTATTATTTTTAACTTCGTAGACAAAAGCGTTTACACATAATAATTTAAATGCCCCTAAATTGGGGGATTGGCCTTCAGCGGCCATAATTAAAATTAAATATTTTAATGACTTCGTAAATAATATGAAACATCGATGGTTATATTAAGAAATGCGTTTCTATTCATTTTTATAAAGCATACAATAATGAACTTCATATAATTTTTGATGCTCTTTTACTAAGTAAATCTATGAATTTTGCGAGTATTTCCCAAAACTCATATTTATAAGAAGGTGCGGTGACTTTTTATTAATACTTAAAAATATTTATTATGTCGTTAAAAGTTTATACAGAATCATTATTATACACTCGACTATTTTATTTAAAGGATTTTCAGTCAATCTTAATTTACGATTGGATTAAGCAGAGTATACTGCACATAAGTAGGAAAACTATTTGAACCAATTAGTGTTTTTGATTTTATTTATTTCTATCGAACAAATCAATGTCAAGTATATTGTATCCTAAAGATTTAAACAACACAAAACTTTCTATTCTCAAAGAATATACTATTTTATAATGCAATCAAAATGTACCGATCTAGTTTTCCGAGAAACATTGAACTTCAGATTGCATTGATCGTAAATAGAACCAAGGCTTGTTTTGTAACAAGTTTAAATTAAATTAAAGTTCGAGAACTAGGTCTAACCTTGGCCACCGACATTGACTGAAACTGAAAGCAGATTTTCGCTGTTATTCGGTTACATGGTCAAAATTCTTTCAGTAACTGCTTCATTGGCATAATTGCGTGCAAATTAGCCGAAAATTAAAAAGAAATAAATATTAAGAATTTTTTTACGGTAGCGTAAGTAGCCTGTGCACTTACATAACGACATTTGACGGCTATAGTAAATGCGCATGACGTTTGCAAACGGCTACTCACTATGAGTTGGCTTATATGTCAAATGCAAAATGAAAATCATCATGAATAGTGTTATAAAATCAACCTTGTAATATAAACTTAACCTTTATCAATCAAATGAACCGAATAATTCGTATTTCTTTGTGGTTACGTTAGCTTTAAGTTTATCACCTAGGTTCTTTTAAAAGACAGTTTAGTACTAGCAAAGAACAATACATTCACACTGTATTCTTTTTAAGTAGACGCAGATATGTACTAGCATGCATGAACGTAGTGTAAATAATAAGAAAAAGTTTCAAGAGCTTAAAAAGTTTTTATATAATTACATACACTGAACCATAAACAAGATACATTGTTCTATTTCAACTCGCATAACTAGGACGTGCATTATCACATCCTATCGATGCACAAACAGTATCAACCTTAGCCTCATTAGTTATGTGACATAACACATTACCTAACCGACGACATTTGCTTTCGTCATGATTGTTACGTGATCGAAGGGAAAGCGCTTGGCTCCAATTTCATTGCCGCATTGTAATGTTTATTTCCCATAAAGGCTTTATTTTACCCTTTCCTTTTAATTACACGAATCCATCTATTGTAGTAGTAGTAGGTATTTTTTTGTATTTGTCTGTTGACTTTTTGCGTCTAAGACATGTCGGTTTCCTCACGATATTTTCCTCTACCGTTCGAGCAAATGTTAAATGCGCACATAGAAAGAAAGTCTAATGGTGCACAGCCGGGGATCGAATCTACGACCTCAGGTATCAGAGTCGCACGCTGAAGCAACTACACCAACACTGCTCTATTTGGTTTATTTATAGTACTATTTTTTACATGGTACTAATTATAATAAATAAATAGAAAAATTCAAACAATTTTAAAAAGTTTTGTCCCTGTGGCAGTGCACTTTTAATGCTGAACCTTTACCTGTTTATTATATTTTAATTACAATGCATTTTAGTATAGGAGTGTAAGCTGCTAATAATTATATTTAACCCAATTTTAATAAATCCTTCTATGGCAAATTTTTCTCATGCAATTCATTGCATTACTTTTTTTCTGTGTCGCGGATAGGCTAAAAGGCGTGGTAAAAGATTTTTCCTTAAATATGTTAAATCAACACTGACCGGAATTTTATCAAAACCTTAAACTTTTCCTATTTAATTGTCTATTAAACGTAAAATAAGAGACAATCTACTGACAATCTCTCGTATCATTAATGGCAAATTGAAAACAAAAGAAAGCATTTCAAGAGCAAAAAAACAAACACCGGAACACAGTTATTACCAACATTGAGAAAGCAACATTGACATTAGCCTGCCAATTAAGTATGAGTTCATTGCACAATCGAGATCGTCGCGTGCGCACTGCAGCCAGCCGTGAAAGTAAATTCTCATAGTTATGTGTGCTAAACAAAACTTATGTAAGCTGTAAACGCTTCCGACGGAACATACCATGACGTAATTAATCATTTTACCTCAATTTTGGATTATGGTTAAACCTATTAAATTGTACTATAACTATATATACATTGCACTTTAGAATTGTCACAATTCACCAACGTGTGATCAAATCCTGTCTCGTCCGACAACTTAGTTAAAACAGAGCTTATAAATAGTTTGTAAGGATGTTTTTGTTTCTGGTGTTCAGATTGTTCATACCGACATAGGGCATGAGCAAGTAGATCCATGATTTATATAGCACTCTCACTTTTATTGGAAATAAATATAATAAATCTAAAGAGATGAAGATTGTAACAATATTTTATTGAAATGAAAATACAAATTACAGTTTCATGTATATTCATGGTTTCCCGATTTTCTCTGGAAACGTCGGGGCAGTTTATTTATATTCAAATAATTGAATTTCTAATTTTTGAGCACAGGTGTAAATAATGAAATATCTACTTAAAGATACGAAGATCATCACACAATATTTGCATCGGCAATTTTATTTATTACAGATAACGTCAGGAAATAGATCACAAAGATTCCTTTTCGATTCAATCTTCGGTCTAGAAGTCCCGCTTTTGGACGAGCAAAGTGTGGAAGATGATGAAGAAGATACAACCCAGGTCAGGAACTGTTCGTGTGGTACGTAGTGGTGTTCTCATTGAACTATTTACTTGTAGTCCTTTGGCACTTAGAATTTTTAATCACTCTCATAGAAATCAATATTCCGAATAGACGATTTCTGTGGTATGGTTTTATTTTTATTGCTATGATAATTAAACACGTAAAAACATTTTGGCACTGAAGCTTTTTCTTTAAAAATGTAGACCTACTTTTAGCAGCCTTTCTCTCACTCTTAAGTCTGTAGTAGGGTAATTTAAAAACATTTTAAAGGAATTCATTTTCCTTCAGCAATGATCTTTGCTTGACCATTGACTGTTTATCAAGTGGTTTTAATCATGTATCGCATTTAAGCACACTTTTGTAGTTATGTAGTTTACTTTCGGATGCACTTTCTTCTAATTATTTTCTTTCACGTTTACTTTCTAGAATGTGGCAGGGCAAATCCACTTCCTAAGAAGATTGGTAAGTTATCCATTTCATATATAATTATAGATTTGTTCTTTCAATATGATCACGCATTCCGTCATCGGTTCATTCACGCTTAGATTAGTATGTTTGAATGCTTCTGGGAAAACTGACTTCATTTTTTATTTAAAGATCCATATCACATAAATTAGCTTTATAAATGACCAGAGGATTAATTGTAACTAAAAAAATGTCCATCATCAAGTTATCATTCTGAAATGCAATAAAAACAACGAATTAACAATAAAACCGAAAAATGAATTAAGATTTTTGAGAAGTATAGAATATCTAGAAGAATAGATAAGCTTTGAGCAGTATTTAATATATTGAAACTCATAGAAAAAATGTTTTGGCAATTCACTCGATTTATTTTATTTATTGAAGTACACATCATATAAATTTAGTACTAGGAATTTTTTGATGAACAATGCGGATTAGGTACCAGATAGGCGCTTAACTTTTCTATTGTATTTTTAACTTTGAGTTATGTGGTAATAAACATAAATCATAACCGAGACGTTTTATGAAGCCATTGAAGCATTGGTTGTCAATACATCTAAAGCCAATGACCATTAATGAGAACTGGAACCAGTACCTAACTTTCACTTGTACAGATTGCGGAGGTGGGCCAAACCAGGAAAACCGCATAGTCGGCGGGTTTCCGGCTGGGCTCAACCGGTACCCGTGGATGGTGAGGCTGGTCTACGATGGTCAGTTTCACTGTGGAGGATCCCTTGTTACTAAGGAGTATGTCGTCACCGCCGCACATTGTGTCAGAAAGTAAGTAATCATGCTAATTACGAAACTCCTAGTGGGCCTAACAAATATTTTGGAGATTATTTTTCCGACCCAAATATCGACCAATAGAATTGCACCATTCGACGTCACGTGGTACAACCTACATGGTATTATACTGATAATTTTTTGAAAATTTTCTCTGGTAGTTGCTTCAAGAAAAGTATTAAGTAGTTGTTTTATTCATTATGAAATTCTTATTTGTTAACTGTACATTTCGTCTCATGGTGCAATTCTATTGGCCGACATTTGGGTCGGAAAAATAATCCCCCGAATACCACACGAGCTTCAAAATTATCTGGCATTTCCCTCAAGGTTCCCTGCAAACAAATAAATAAATAAATACCCGATAATTTTGAAGCTCTTGTGGTATTAAAAGTGATAATTACAATAGATAAAAGTCGTATAGCATGCTAGTATGCGCAATTTGAAAATCATTTGTATTGCTACGTAAATTAATAAATATCCTACTTATATTATAAACGCGAAAGTTTGTAAGTATGGATGGATGTTTGTTACTCTTTCACGTAAAAAATACCGAATGGATTGTAATGAAACTTTACAATAATATAGCTTATACATCAGAATAACGCATAGGCCATTTATAAAGATATTGTGTGAATTGTTCAAAATATCATGTAAAAAGTCTACAATCTGCGAGCTAATCTTGCGTGCGCTTCCAAAACCGCTAGAGTTACACATATGTAACGTATGATGGAAATGTTTATCTTAAATAGTCCTACAAAAAAGCTCGCCACAGTATATATCTATGTCTTATGTGTAAACCTTTATAGCCAAAATAGTGTAGCCAAAGTAGTAACTACAATAAAAATTGATAATTAATTTCAAATGCACATTAGGTAGTAATAATTGATTCCTAAATAAAAAATAGATACTTTTATCCCTTTTGGTATTTCAAGTAGATAAAATATATCTTTCTAATTTTCTTATAACTTAGTTTAATTATTTTAAATTTTAGTTACTATATTCTATTTTATCATTATTTATTTAATATCTGGTGTGTAACCAAACCATGTAAGAATACAATTAACGCTTGTACCTTTATATAAAAATGAACAAAAATAATGAAACGTATATATTTGCCCCGTTACATTATTTCATACAAAATATTTTATTGCAGATTAAAACGATCGAAAATTAGAATAATACTGGGCGATCACGACCAGACATTGACCACGGAGAGCGCAGCTATAATGCGTGCTGTCACGTCCATTATACGACATCGCAGCTTCGACGCGGACTCATACAACAACGATATTGCCCTGCTGAAGCTACGAAAACCAGTCACCTTTTCGAAGATCATCAAACCTGTATGCTTGCCTCCCGCAAGTAAGTTCGTAATAATATTTTTGCAGGGTCACCTTATGTTAAGTTATACCACATGGACACTCTCAATGCCAGAGGGCTCGCGAGTGCATTACCGGCCTTTTAATAATATATAATATGTTAGATAATAACGTGTTTATAATTATAATGAATTGCTTAAATTGGATTACAGGATGACGCTACCCCTCGAAGCGCTGAACTAATTTTATATTTTAAAAGAGTATTTTATTTAAAATATTTCCTTAACGTTGACCCGAGCAAACGTCGTCTTGCAAGATCATGTATGATTCATCTCCGACATGTCTAAGACGAAAAATTTGTTCAATAACAAATAACTATCTACTAAGGTTAAAACTGGGGGTCTGATTATAATGGGGATTTGAAAAAAAGATATTAAGGGTTTTTCATGTATTTCTTGTTAAATATTGCTGTTTAATCAAAAAAAAAATCTTTTTTCAATTAAAAATAAAAATTTGGTGAAATTTAGATAAACACGTAACTATAACACGCCATGAATGATCACCATAGTGTTGTACGTCATAATGTCAGAGCTAACTTAATAACAGTCAGCGTTAACAACAATTAATACTATATGGGTATCAAGTCCATTTCAGATATTAAAGAGTAATATTAATTAACAAAATTAAGTGAGATCAAAACACTTTATATATAATTTTTCTATTAACGTGAAATAGTGAGTATACATTGCGTTCACACGCGCTAGATTGTTGAGTGTTTTCCGTACATGTCTAAAGATTAATTTTTTGAACTTTGATGGCAAAACCAATAACAGAAGTGTTAGAAAATTATATGATTTTTCATTTACCACAAAAATGGGGGCTGTGTACTATTATAATTGCGTCACACAAAAGTGTTTTAAACACATAGCAGCTAAATCACACACTATTCCTAGTAGGTACAATCTTCGCCCAATATCGTTTCTAACTTTAATTAGCTTTTCCGTAATATATATATAACACTTAAAGGTTTATGTTTATTACCTGCATTTCCAGGTGTAGATCCAGCAGGCAAAGAAGGTATAGTGGTGGGTTGGGGTCGTACATCAGAGGGTGGTCAGCTACCCGCCATAGTTCAGGAAGTCCGCGTCCCAATTTTGTCTCTACAGCAATGCCGTGGATTGAAGTACAGAGCTTCACGCATCACTAATAACATGGTATGGTTCATTAAGAATATTCATCGCATTAATGCATTAGCTATTTACTTCAACACCAAACAATATAAAATTATATTTTTTGGCGCGTCTTTCAAACTTCTACAACCCTACAACTAAATACGTATTTAAATAGTCGCAACTACGTAAATCTTAATGCCTACTAAAAATATAGGCAACATGTTACACATGGTTAATTTTATTTTATCAGTAAGTTTATTGAAACGTTCGCGGTACAAAAATAAAATGTTTTCCTCAAAAGGGTGATAGGCTAGGCTAAAGTCAGAAACACACTTACGTGTCGTGGCGTGTCGTGACGCGCCAGAAGCATATTTTAGTATGATTAGACAGAACGTGTTGTGACACGACACAACATGCAAATATGTTTCTAATCATATTAAATGTATGAAACCAATCTGCTTCTGGCGCGTCACGACACGCCACGACACGTAAGTGTGTTTCCGACTTAAGGCTTGTATAGTAAATATATTTTTTTTTTAAAGTTATACTTCTTTTGGTGCGTAAGGGAAAAATGATAAGAGTAAATTTTTACGATGCGCGCGCACACCGTCACAAAAAACCGACACCCTGAAGTTAGCATGTCAACATTTTAAAATAAAAAATGTCCATTTCTTTAATTATGTAGATTTTTTTTTGTGATATTTTTTAATAAACTTTATTTAACTAAATAATGCGTTATAATAAAACTTGGCTGTTACTTAGCCTACCCAAATTCAACCTCCTAATCCTTCCCTCCCCCACCCGCCCCGTTTTCCCTATCCATACCGTTGCCAACCAACGCCGAGCCGCACTTATTATTCTTGCTTTCGTAATCGCATTTTAGTGTTTATTGTTTTCTCTGTTTGGTGAAATATTACATAAACTACCTATTTAGTGCTGTATGTAAGATGGGTAGGTACGAGTATCAATAAAAATAAGTACACAAATAAAATATTTTTATTTTTACATCTTCAATTTTTTTGCTATCTCTCCAGTTTGTATGACGTCATTAAGCCAGGTTCGCAGATATTTCCGACGACTTGTACCTCTTTAGTACATACCAACATGGATCATTTTGCTATGCTACCCCAGAGACTGTTCGGTTTTCCGGAATAAAAACTTTTTAGGTTGATCTGTGAATTTTTTTCTATATAAGCCTCACAGTTCAAGTCATAAATAATAAATAAAAAATAGGGCTTGATCGTAGAGGGATGAAAATCAAGGGTTGTATGTATTTTTATAAGTTGTGTCATAAAAAAAAAATATCCAAAAAAGAAAAAAAAAATGTTTGGGACACCCCTTATCACTTAGGGGTTTGAAAAATATCACGCGTGCGTCCCGTGACCACGCACGCTGTAAAGCACGCGAAATGTCGGTTAAATTTAAAATTATGAAAAATAATTGTAAATACATAACTTCATTCAAAATCTTTATTATCAAATGTGTGAAAGTTATGTCAATAAAAGACAAGATATAGATATATTTTTAATAAACAATTTCCAGCTTTGCGCGGGTCGATCATCAACAGACTCATGCCAAGGCGACAGTGGCGGCCCCTTGTTGGTACAGCAAGGGGACAGATACCAGATTGTTGGTAAGTTAAAATTCTACTTAGTTTTAAAGGATTTTATAGAATACAGTAGAACTCCAATTATTCGAACTCCGACTATCCAATCGCCGATTATCCGATCCGTGACCTGGCTCCCGAAAACGGTTGAAGACCGCAAAACAGCTTACATTGACGGAGATGTTTAAAAAACAATGATTTTTATTTCTAAACTTGTACATAAGTACATTTTATTTATATTTAAAACATGTGAAAATTTCATGTTTCTTTCATTTAATTCAATAAAAAAATAGTGCAATATCAAAACGTAGCTTTTATTCTCTCCAATGGCAATTTTTTTAAAAAAATCCGACTATCCGAATATTTGATTATCCGAATGGGTCCCGGTCCCCATTAATTCGGATAATTGGAGTTCTACTGTAATGTAAAAAATTTAGAGCAGTGTTGGCGTAGTGGCTTCAGCGTGCGACTCTCATTCCTAAAGTCGTAGGTTCGATCCCCAGCTGTGCACCAATGGCCTTGCTTTCTATGTGCGCATCTAACATTCGCTCGAACGGTGAAGGAAAACATCGTGAGGAAACCGACACGTCTGAGACCCAAAAAAACTACAGTGTGTGTCAGCCACAGGAGGCTGATCACCTACTTGCCTATTAGATTGAAATATGATCATGAAACATATTTCAAAATCTGAGGCCCAGACCTACAGAGGTCAGTGTAGCGCCACTGATTTATTTTTTATTTTATTTTATGTAAAAAATATATAGCACAAATAAGATTTGATACAAAAAAGGCATTATTTATACCGGGTAGTGGTGTACACCTTATTTTCACTAATAAGTAACTTCGATGCTTTGTGTTTTAAAGAGAAATATCAAACATTTCAAATCACCTCTTTTTGTATTAAAACAGCAGTGACGCCATATCATATTTTTACCATTGCGATAAGTTATAAGGAAACTAAAATATCGCTTGCTAAGAGAGGAGAATAGCTAGAAATAAACGCGGTAGGTACTTGCTTAAAAAATATAAAAGGACCAGATTAAGGCCGAAAACCAAAAGGATCTTGCTTAATTATTGTCTCCAATCAAATATTTCATTGACCTGCAATGATTCAGAGTAAAAATTAGCGTGATCGATGACAACTTACGTCAAATCCACACAAATAGGGTTTCAACACATACGAGAGTCGTATTTAGTCTCGATCTACCCCAATACCTCACAAGAGCCTGCTCCGCTACATTAACACAGATATTTTAATACTTATTTATTTTTATTCAAATATTTTCTAGGTATAGTATCGTGGGGTGTTGGTTGCGGTCGGCCAGGATATCCCGGTGTCTACACACGTATAACACGATATCTGCCCTGGCTTCGCGCTAATTTAAGGGATACCTGTCTATGCGGTGATTAATATGAGATTAGATGTCAAAATTGCGCGCTTAACAAATAGTTTTTGTTTTTATTTGACTTTACATTATTTTTGTATTCAGAAGACATACATATTGGTCAAAATTAAGAGTGCTTAATAATACTATGTCAAACGTGTAACTAAAATAGTTTTTCTAGGTCAGTAAAAACTGTTGTACTTCAAGCTTAATACAATTTTCCTAAAATATTAATAACAAATTTTTCAAGAAACAAATACTATTATTTCCTTTTAAGAAGTGTTTTTGTCGAAGTCCCTAAAACGTTGTCTCAATCGGGGTTTTCTGTATGTAATGCGGAGTGAGTAATATTTTCTTGTCCTGTTAAAGAATTATATTTTAAAATTAAGCAAAAAAGAAATTTACATTTATTAGGAAAATCACGTTATGACCATTGTTCCAGATTTTTATATTAAATTTAATTTACCTACACTAGAATTAATTAGTTTATAAGTTAAGCTGTTTAATTGTTTTTAATTATCAGAGTCGGGTATATTTTTAAGTAATTCTAAATTTAAATACCTTTGTTCTTGTATATAGATGATCATATCGATAACTATTTATTGCAGTTACTCTATGGTTGTAATAACTTAACTTTAAGCCCAGGAATAAATAGTAAAATAATTTATATTCCTTGAATATAAGTGTTGGTTTAATTTAAAAATAAGGCAATTAAACATATGGGTTCCAGCTTTCGGTTTTTGTGGTAACGGATGACAACGTATTGTATACAATATTTTTTCTACATTTATTATTACATAAATCATTTAAATCTGTAAAGTATTATACGATACCATAGTGTTTATGAACAAGTATTACTTCATACGCCAGTTTGCCTGCCACCAAACAATGGTGGCAAACAGAATATGGATACGCATGTAGAGACAAAAAGTTATGTTTTGTCCTACTTTTATATATTTGTTTTATAGTATTTCTCTTACATTATCCATTTGGCATGGAAACCGAAAGATGATACCTGATTTGGATTATTTATTAATATTAGTTGTTAAGGTTCAGGCCGGTGGTGCAGATTACCAATATATTATAAGACGAAAAGTAGAACTACCTACGTGTTCATTATTTAAGTTTAATATTACTGGTTAAATATTTTGTTATTGATAATTAATTACACTTTATAAGCAACTTTGAATTATTGCTAGATATTTCTCTGTTTTATCTTCAGGAAAAAAAATATGTTAGTATGGAAGATATAAGAAAGGCTTTCCATTTGAATAAAAGATAAATGTCAGGCCTATGGTAACTCGGGAATGCATATCTCAGTAAATTTTAGTCTAAATTTTCAGTTAGACCTTTTTTTATAATAACATTGAAAGCTTCGTTTATCAATACTACTTCTTAACTGATAATGTAACTACAATGTGACTATTTTTTTTTTAATTATAATATTATATAACAGTTAAACAATAGGTACTTATTAAGGCCATGTACATATTTAAGTCAAGTTTTCCTTTAAATTTTGTAAATAAAATACATCGCTCTTTAGGCTGTACCTGTGATCTATGTCACGATAAAATTTATATTGTGCTATTAATTTTAATTATTTCTAAGTTTATTATGTAATTAATTTATGTTTTTGTTAAGTTTATAACTTTTTTTACTCATAAATAAAAAATTCAATAAATAATTAAAACATTTTACCTTTGCCTTTAATATATTTATTTACCAGAGAAATCGACATACTGTAAATAAGGATAATTCTATGAATAGTGCCTATAAATCGTTTAAAAACCTTCTACTCTAATTCCAAGACGTTTTCAAGGAACTTCCATCAATGTCTTCTAGTCTGTGTCTATTGACAAGGCGATAGAGCAACTAACTGAGCATGCACTAAATCTATGGCAAATTTCATTTATCTGTAGCAGCACGGCTATTGGCGCCATTTACCATCCACCACACAGTTTATTGTACTGAATTTCTTAGTTTTTTTTATAAGATTTTTAATAGTCCGGTGACTATTTAAAAAGTTATTTCACTTTCCGATATTTAATATGGAGCGTCTGAATTAACCAAGTAAAAGCATATGTGAGAAAACCTAATGAATTTATGATGGACTATATAAAAACTACGATTTTATATACTTTTACATACTGATTTTTTTCAATGTAAGTAAGTTTAAGTAAAGTCCATAAAGGACCACTTTTTCAAAAAGTGCTGGTTATGGCATGACAACTGAAAACAAGATTATATGAATCTGAGTTAATTTGTAGGGAGATCACATAAACATCTGCTGTCAGCGTGACCCGTGCGATTTGTTAAGTGGAGGCTATATGCGTGGAAAGTGTCACTTTCGCCGCCTCTCAATGCCACGCTAAGGATGTAAGGAACTACAATACATGTTTATTTTATAATTTCTGCTTTATTAGTAAAGGTGTGAAATATGGACATTAAGATGAATGAATATGAAAGTCTGCTTATGTTTAAAAACTTAATATTAAGATTACGAGCCAAGCAAATTTTAAATATGTATTCCAAAAAAAAACATTGAATCGTAAGCCTAATTGCAGTTTAATAAAAAGACTAAATCGCAAATTCTCATAGTATCATTTAGGTATATTTCGTAGCTATTTAATTTTAAATGTCAATTATTAAGAGATTGATTCATGCTTTTGTGTATGTAAGAAGTAGAGGATCTCTTTTCCTGTAGTTAATATTGTTGAGCTAACTAAACTACGCTATCAAAATTCGAGTTAACGAAATATCGTAGTCAGCAAGAAGTTAGAAAAATATAGAATATTTAGACTATTTTCTTTTTCAACCCAGTCTTCGATCAGAAACCGCAATATTAATCAATTGTAATAAAAATCCTGTTTAAATCTCAATGAATCCAAAGGTCGGAGTTTAAAACAAGCCTACTCCATTTAAATATGCGTTGTTTTAAAGCCAAGTATCCATTTAACGTCCATTAAGATAAGCCAATAGATATAAAATATTTAAGACTGTTTACAAATATATTAAAATTTCACAGCTTAAGTTTTCTATGTGTTTCTATTTTAATGATAGGCAAGTGGGGTGTCTTGTACCCAAATCACGTCCGTTCGAAATTCGAACGAATATATTCGTGGTGGTTATTCAGTGTGTGCCCGTTCTGAGAGCGCGCGACAAGTTTAAATGATGCGCAGAACTTGCGCGAAAATCTAAATTTCAATACTTGGTGTTTTCCTTTTTCATTTTTTTTATTATCCATGAATAGAACGTCAGGATGGTGAAGTGTTTTATTTTATTGCTTCTGGTGACTTTCACTAGCACAGAGGTGAGTACTTTCGTTTGTTTATGATTCACTAATAAATAATAATCAATCAGACGAAAAAAAATTTATCATAGATTAACAGTTCTATCTCATTATATTAAATTAATAAATTTAAAAAAGTAAATAATTAAATTCGTTTGACTTTTTAAGAAGGGATAATAATTTTAGGTTAATATTTTAAACAAATTGAAGCCTTATTAACTTTATAACAGAGGATAAATTTCTTCCGTTATAATGTAATCAGGCTCTTTTGGCATTTGATTCAAGAAAATCTAGTTTTTAGGTGTTTTTATAAACTGATTTATAATCGGAACCATTAATCTTAATATAAATTGATATTTAGCTCATATTAAACGTGAATTTATTTTAAAATACGTGTTTTAAACCCCTTAAGGATATCTAAACACTATCAATGCTCGGTTTTTCAACCAATTCAATTCTGAGAAAAACAGTAATTGTTTCTATTTGTCACTTGACTAGGACAAGTGTACAGGTGTAAGTGACAGGTTATGAAACTTTGTAATTCAATGCATAAATGTACGTTGAACAACTTTTTTATATAATTTAAGCAGTTAAATGTTAAACAATAAGTAAGGGCTCCGACAAGTTCATTGGTAGAACTACCAAGTTGTTTTAAAATTGCGTATTAATAAGTCGGAAAACAAATCGTCACACTTTAATATTAGTAACAAAGAGTCGACTTTCGAGACTGGAGTTAGACGAGTCACAGAAGCTTTTGCTTTTTTTATTTTGTCTAATTTACATTATGTGAGAGGCAGTATTTATCCATCGTCTGTGTATATTTATTATATCTATAGTAATAGCTGTATAAGAAGCGTGTTTAAGGTTTATTTGATTTGCCTCCTCAACAGGGCGATTTTGACAGCATCTGATTATAGAATTTTAGAGATTATTACAAATCCAAAGACAAAACAATTCATAGACAGGTGTAAATAAAGTTGATGTTATAAATGTCGATGACTTAATAAACATACAGGTACTGTGTAATCTCTTATAACTATTCACTTTATAACGAAAATCTCTCGATAACGTTAAAATGAGTTAAATTTATTTTGTTTAAGCCAATACCCATACATTAATTCTTCCCTCCCTATAACGATATCTCTACAACGAATAAAAATGCTCGGTCCCTTGAAATTCGTTATAAAGAGTTTACACTGTAGTTTGGTTTAAAATATTGTCATGAAACTGGCCTTTTAATGATATCAATTATTATATGATGTACAACCAAAACTAGCAATCCTTATATAAACGTTGTTGAGTATTTTATGTTTATAGGACTTACAACGTCAGACACGAGGGATATATTCGAAGAATTTCTTTGGAGGTGTTTGGGGCAATCGACCACCGCTGTTGGAACGAAACCAGGCCAGGACTTCGTGTAATTGTAGTAAATATCTTTTGATTCTTATTTAATACTATAAATACGTAATAAAAAAATCTTATTACTTTCTAGGTAAATTTAACAGTAAATAAGCAACAATAAAAACCACTAGTCAACACGTACCAAAACTATAACATTGTAACGAAGTTTAAAAAACCAGAGCCGCGACAAACATCTTTCCTTGACTTTTGTTTTTGTATCTATTCTTCGATTGATATTTACTCTATGGGCAAGTAGTCTTATAGCTGACACAACAGAACTTTTTCCATGCGATGTCTACTTATACCGCATATAAAAATAACAGTGGGGTTCCGATGATTTTTGGGCGTGATTAATGAACAAATTAAACCTATTAATTTGATAGAACATTACATTGATTCACTGTAAATGATTTTCATTATTATTACTAAAAGGTATCACAGAAGCACTAGCAAAGAAGTAACTGAGCAACTTAGCGATATTTTACCTTTTTTCCTGCTCCCTTACTGCACTGTAACTTCCGATTCCATCAGTGATTCCGATAGTGAGGTTTATGTTCCGTACTATGAAAGTAGCATCATCAGGATATTGAGAGAACTTCATCAAACTTACAAAAATGTCGTGATCGGTTTTGCTTGTTGAGAGTTACAGAGTAAGGGTGCTGTTACGTTTGTTGTACAATAAATACAAAAGTACAAAGTACAGTCTACAAAAAAACCCTTTAACGTTTTATATACTTGCAAGTCTTAGAATAGAATAGTTTAGAATAAGACATTTATATCCAATTTATATAGTTTACACAACAATGGAAAGTGTTTTTTTATACAATTCTATACAACGCTGTGGGGGTTTCTAGACTATTTTACCGCTTATGTAGCATGTCCTACAGGATTTTAAAAATTAAAAAAATTATAATAACGTAACAAAGTATTCGATTTCTTCGTGGTAAGGGTATTATGTGACACACATATTTGACCGAGGTTTTAGATTTTTTTAGAACAGGTGGTAAACGGGGACGAGGCTCATCTGATTCTAAGTGATACCCATGGACACTGGCAAAAGGCTCGCAAGTGCGTTGCCGGTCTTTTAAGAACTCAATTTTTCTGTTTAATTTTTAATAATATACCTCTTTTATTTATCATCATCATTTGTATCTTCTCTAATTGTACGCTCTGATATTTACAGAATGTGGCGAAAGGAATGACGTATCCCGTATCGTAGGCGGGACTGATGCTGCGATCAATGAGTTTCCCTGGATTGTCAAACTATCTTATTTCAAACGATTCTACTGTGGTGGTACAGTTATTAACGACAGATATGTGGTGACAGCAGCGCATTGTGTTAAAGGGTAAGTTCTTTTTCAAAGGGTTTTAAGGACCGCATTATAATTACATTTACAAATTTATATATATTATAGCTATAGGTGCCAAATAACCAGTGCGTCAAAAACCCTCTAAACTAAATTATTATTATTTATCATGCAAAACACTTACAGAAGCTCCTGTTCGACAGCACTAAGACTTCCGTATGTCAAAATTCAATACATTTTTAAGTAAAGGTGTTGAACTTAGCGCTAAGTTCTGAATCTAACCCCAGATTATCCCTAAAACAAAAGAACAAACGATGGTGCGCTTTTATGTGATTGGTCCAAAAGCTTCGGGTCGCGTGTTTCTGACTGTACTAAAAATTTTTGCGAATCAAACAAGAGAAGCGGGCTAAAATGAAGGAAATGTTGCCAGCATTAAACACAAACAATTCCGATAAAACTGTTTCTACTGTATAAATATTATATCAATAAGATCCAATTCCATTAAAAAATACACATAAAATGATAATGATCAGCTCGCATCTTAGTTAACGTAATAAATATTCGTCCAATATATAAGCCAAGTGCATAGACCTCTCTTCCTTCTGTGGTTACTCTGGCTACTCTGGTATGTTTTTGACAAATGGTCTGCGCTAATTCTCGATTTTGAATAAAACATTGATTTAAATAAAGAATATCATTTAATTGAATCCTTTGATGTCATTTCTAAGACTAAACTTTTATAGCTATGAATAAAATATTTAATGTTTTAAACGAAGACAAAGGAAATAAAACATTGCTAAATACCATGTTTTTGGGCAAACCAGTTTTTGAGTAATGTTTACCTGTGTTCAAAAAGTCAAAACAAAGTGTGTTCTCGAAATAAATATTAAAAGATAATTTGATGACATACTAAAACGCGTAATAAAATTCGAATAATTGCATTTTTTTCCTTGATTGCATTCGCCGGAACGTGTAAAATAAGGTGTACTTTCGTTTTGAGAAAATTTTTAATTACTTAGTGTAAAATATTATTTTCACCACACGTCGTGAGGTCCGCAGGATTATTCAACAATAATTTAATTTCAGTCAATTTACATAAAACATTATGAACTGTACCACCTTCTTCAGGAAAGTTACACTCTCCATTGGTGAAAGCTGTGCAGAAATAGGTTTGTGTTTAGCGCGTTCTTAGAGACAGAAACACTTTATTTTACAACATGTTAGATGAGTGAGCTCAATGGAAAAAATAGATATAATTAAGGCTAATTGTATATGACAAAAATAGGTTTATAATTTTTGGGTTAATGATTTAACATTTATTAATTCATTATTAATTATATTTAGTACTTTATACATGACGAAATTTTTAGGGCACATTTCTATGTGTGCATCATATCAATTGTTCGGCCTCAAGACGAAATACTTATCAAACCCAGAATCCCTCTCCCCCCATAAGTAACTAAGGGAGCGTTCAAGTATTTCGTCACGAAATTGGAGATTATTGACCCCCCCCATGCAACGCGCCGTAACGTTTTCTGTACTTACCCAAGTACAGTACCATACCCAAGTATAGTAAAACGTATAGTGATTCTTTATACCATTATAAGGAAAATCGAAAATAATATTAAAAATAACGCGTAATTCAATCCCCGCCCCGCATCGTAACGTTTTACCCCCAAAACTCGTTACGTAATACTTGAACGCTCCCTAAAGTAATTATAGAAGTTTGATATCGTCAGCATACACGTGTTACCTATATCACTAGTACAAAATCTCTTGAAGGTTTTGAAATAGGATAACGAAGTACTTAGGTTTTGATTTGAGTACCACTGTAAACCTGGAAGAGATCGCTCGAAGGACAAAAGCCCATTGCCCTCCTCATTATTTAATTATTATAATTTGTACTGATTTTCCAGTAAGTGTTAAATGCATCAACCAAATGTGCAATCGTCAGGGATCAGACCAAATATTAATACTAACATATTCAAGAAATTGGTTGGTTTTATTCAATTAAAATCGAATGGATCGATTTGATATCAAAATATTCTTAATGTACGTCTAAATTACAGATGAAATCATAAATCAATAATATACGAGTCCGATAACCTGAGAATCGCAAAACAAGACCGAAATAATCTTGGTCCGAATTTGTGAATTCCAATATTATAGTATAGTGCGTTCACCTTAAACCGGCTAAGAGGTTGGCTCTTAACTTAGAGTTCAATATCCTCTAGAAATGTCCACTTTGATAATGTTTGTGGAGCCACTTAGGATTTTTTGTCACTCCCACATTGTTTAATTTGATCACGCGTAATCGTTAGCGGCACTTGTTACAAAATGTGAATAATGACGTCAATGAATGCGTGGCTAGTTTGAGATTAACATGACCAGAACTCAAACCCCAAGTGCACAGTTAATTGGTCATACATTGAGGGAAGATGAGAGGAAGCCGGCATGTCTTACAACGTCTTGCCTAGACAAAAATTGACGATGCGTTTAAAATTGACATCAGACAGATAACGTGTTAAAAATATCAATGCCATAGATGCAGAAATGTGTCTGCATTCCCAATCGAGAAATTACGGGATCACACCTGGTGTATTTGATATAAAATAGTTGGGAACTAAGCCGGCATTAACTGCGTAATTGAATAAGATGACACGAGACCATTTTTATAATGAATATTTTGTTAAAGATATTATTGCCGTTAATTCCGATAGGTATTCATATAAAAACTTGTTTTAATAATACATGTTTGGGACATAAACCTTCTATGCTCGTTTGGATTCGACTTCTAGCATGTAGATTTTGAGCAAAAACAATAATTACAAACAATAAGAGCACGTGAGCATTCTAAAGGTGGTTTCTTCACCAGTAAATTGACAAGAATTGAAATTACTAGTGGATGACTTCTCTTATAGCACAAACTGTAAATAATTAGGAAACAATTTAACAATAAAAATTTAAGTAATAAAAATGAAGTAAAAGTAAACGGGTAAACAGTGATACATTTGCCAGAAACAAAATAATGAGCAAAAACTATGAAGATGCTGAATACAATAAGAGAAAGCGTAAATGAGGACTTTAATAGTGTCCAAGTAAATGTTTAACGGAAAATATTTCGTGTCACTTTCCCTCTGCGTCGTCACTAATTTGGTTAGTAATGACATAATGAGTTACTGGTATAATGATGCTTCCGAAATGATAAAGTTCAGGCACGTACATTAGTGATAATGCCATGTCAGTTGGTACTTTCCAGAAGTTTTACCGTATTCCATGTCGAATGATCTCGATGACTGCTGTACATAATAATTATGTATGACTTAATTTTTTACCAATAACTTTACGGAAATTGTCATAACCTGTAATTATTTTTAAGATATTACAGAGACCGCGGTCCCAAACATACTAAATGAGCTATCATTCAGAATTATTAAGAAATTTGTACTTATATTTTTAACGAATTATTTCTTTATTCCTTTACAAGTGCTTACTTGTGATACAGTTGTAAGTGGAAAAAATAGTACACAAGAACATAGTGTCGTCATGTTAAATATGTTTTTTAGTAAATTAGATTAGATCATTGTAATGTTAAATGATGTCTTTGTGCAGTGCAAAAAAACTAAAGTTTTTTCCATAATATTGATTAGAACTAGAACCTTTAGGGGGGCAATTAAGACAGAGGCGGTCATCATAAATAAAAAAAAAATTAATTTCCTACTAAAATGAATTAAAAGATTACTCTACTGAGAAATATTTACACAAAAAACACATACTACACACACAAGTACTATACATATTATGATTAAATTTTATTAAGTAGGAACTTCATAGGTAAACGAGGCCTCATTCGTGCTATTATCATTTTTTTAAATAGTGATCCTACTAATATTATAAACGTGAAAGTTTGTAAGTACGGATGGATGTTTGTTACTATTTCACGTAAAAACTACCGAAATGATTTTAATGTAATTTTACAATAATATAGCTTATACATCGGAATAACGCATAGGCTACAATTTATAAAGATATTGTGTAAATTGTCAAAATATCAAGTAAGTAGGAAAATATCTACCATCTGCTAGCTATTCTGGCGTGAGTTGCCAAAACCGCTAGAGTTACACATATGTAATGTATGATGGAAATGTTTATCTTAAATAGTCCTACAAAAAAGCCCGCCTCAATATATATCTATATCTTATGTGTAAGCCATTATAGCCAAAATAGTGAACCATAACTACAGTAAAAATTGATAATTTATTTCAAATGCACATTTGGTAGTATTAAATTCATTCCTAAATGAAAATAGATACTTTTATCGCTTCTGGTATTTAAAGACTAAAGTAGATAAAATATGGTTTTCATGCTACATCATTTGGACAAATATTATTTTAATCCTGCGCAGACGAAGTCGCGGGCACCAGCTAGTCGTTTAAAATAATTGTTTTAACTGTAAACCGTTATGGATGAGCTGAAACAATTGGACTAATAATGAATAAATTATAAACGAATAATTACAGATTTATGTGGTTCATGATCAAAGTGACGTTTGGGGAGCATAACCGCTGCAACGCGACCATTCGACCGGAAACGAGATTCGTGATTCGCGTAACCGCCAACAAGTTCAGCCTCACCAATTTTGACAATGACATTGCGTTACTTCGCCTCAATGATAGGATCCCGATGTCTGCTGCCATCAAGCCGATTTGTCTTCCAACTGATCACTGTAAGTAAAGTAGTAGCAAAGATATAGTTCAGATATTGTTCTTCCAGATATTTATTTATATGATTTAGAATCTATACTTTTCGCTCTGAATTAAGAACCACTATGTGGAACCAGCTGCCCACTGAAGTAATTCCGGACCAAATCGACTTAGGGTCCTTCAAGAAAAGAGCCGGCAATGTGAGTGTCCCTGGCGGCGATATCACTTAACATCGGATGAGCCGCCTGCCCTTTGGCCCCCAATTCTATCAACAAATTTTTTTTTAACAATAATGAGAAACATCACAAAATACGCTAGAACTTCAGCATTATTATGACAGGTAATTAGATAGGTACCTACTACTATTATTAACACTCAAAATACTGCTCCGATTGCTTAGCAGTTAGCTTATAATCGTCTTCCTTTTAAGCTGTGGTTTGGTTTCTTGACAAAAACTTTGTGATCAAACCTTATCAGTAACGAAAGTTTATACGAAAGATACGAGTGTGTCTATTCCAAGTCGCTGAGGAGCAACAGGACTTTTTAAGTGTTGTTGATTAGTTCGACCTCTCAAAAAATACCATCTAAACTGATCCAGCCAGGGGTGATAAGATACATTATTGATCTAATAGTTAATAAAGTGTTTTAACTCGTAAAATATTTCCTACCGGACTCCGGTGAAATTTGTTCGGCTACATTTTGCCTGGCTATTCGATAGTGATAATAATTTTTGTCACATTTGGATGGTATTTAAATTTTATATACGTTTGTGAAATTTTTAGATATAATATTAATCCTTTCAGCGAGTACATACGTCGGTGTATTAGCCGTTGCATCAGGTTGGGGAACTCTCACTGAAGAGGGCAAGGTGTCTTGTACTCTCCAGGAGGTAGAAGTTCCAGTAATAAGCAACCAAGAGTGTAAGAACACAAAATACTCTTCATCCATGATCACGGATAACATGATGTGTGCTGGGTATCCGAAGACTGGACAAAAAGATTCTTGCCAGGTAAATATGGGTCTGGTAGTTTTTAACTTTCAAAAAACCTTTTTACTATTCCATCTCTATTTTTTATCTCTGGTTATTCTTTAGAATCCAAAAAGGTTTTAATTAGGTTACGTGAAACTTTCAAAAATTGTGTTTTCCTCACCCGTTGCCACTAAAGCACAGACTAAAAAAAAGAATAAACTACATAAGTTCTTTTGAAGTTTAAAACACTAATCTTTAATGTTATAGTTTTATAACAAGAACTTGATAACATAATACAATAATTAATACAAAAAACAATTACACGTCACTTCAATTAAAATTATGCATATTCAACGTAAGATCCCTGTCATCCAAAAAGACAATTAGATCTTAGCGAAAAATTAGAGAAAAAAAAGAGAAATAGAAAAATGAGAAGGGTCTTATAGGGGTAATACTAGACCACTAAAAAACTAACTTACATTTTTAAAACTTATACTAACACAACTAAGAATCACATTAAGAATGTTATCTAAGCAATTTTAGTATGGATTCATTAATAAAGCTCTAATAATAATAAAAACATAATTGAATAATCGAAACATAGAAATTGCAATAAATATATATTAGACCAGTACAGATAGCCTTCAAAATAAATAAAAAGTGAAAAAAATAATAGTAGGATGAAACCTATTGGAAAAGGAGGAGAATATTATAAAAATTAAAGGAAAAATAATTTACGGGCGATCTGAGGTCGGGAAGGGGAAGGGGGGAGTTTTAAGGGTAAAAAACGGTTTATCTCGATTTCCGGCAAAACTAAAAGTCCTATCGAAGAAAGTTAAATGGCAAGGTTGTAGGTATTAAAAAGATCTAAAACTTTTGTATTCACACATTTTTCACATAACCTCAAAATTTATGTGAAAAATTCAAAAAACCAAGTTTTTGGTTTTTAATTTTTATCTTTTACAAATTTCTTTTTTTTTAACAAAATTTGGTGAAAACTTACCTTACTATGTCCCAAATATACTGTAATTTATTTGATTAAAAATGTTTATTTTTTCACCTTATTTTGAATTAATATCGAAAAAACACCCTAATTTTCAATCGAAAATTCTGACGTCAAAATTTCAGCTTTTTTCAAAAAGTTGGTGTGCTTTCAGTTCGTTGAAATCTCTACTTTCCTATGGTAAAAAAAATATATATATATATTACCATAGTAAATCTTCTCAGAAAATGCAAAACATCGTATGCAGTAACGCCCAGACCCGTCATACCCTTCCCTACTTTTTACTAATATGCAATAGTAACAGTACAAACTAATGCATATTTTTGTACAAGTTTTCCTTGTTACGAATAAACTAAATCAAAATCTCCAATTTATTTATAAAGTATTTACAAAAAGTCGTGCCGTTAAAAGGGCCGCCTAGTAATATTTTGGATTATCTGCAAACTTCGTAACGCCTTAATATGATTTACTATAAATAAAATAAAAATACTCGAATTGGTCCAGCTGTCTTGGAGGTTTGCGCTTTGCAACATATTTTGCGATTATTGTTTATTAAATATTTAATTAATTTTCAGGGTGACAGTGGAGGTCCACTCATTGCAATAAGCAAAGACAGTAAGAGAGACAAGCGATATGAGCTCATTGGTAAGTATCATTTTTAGTATGATCTTTTATGTTATGTTGTAGCTGACATCGAGAAAACCGAATTTGACATCTATTTTTTTCTGGCTAATTTTATTTTGCTTTCAAGCTATTGAGTAACGTAAATTTTTAAACAAAGAATGCGTTATTAATATGACATTATCGAAGTCCTCAATATTACACAATTTTAGCTTAAATATAATCACATTTTTATAAAGTTTAGGGTATTATAATATAAGCCTCCAGTTAAAATGAAATAAGACTTATTTAGTTATGACTAACCTTTACATAAACGAATTCTGGGCTAATATTTTAAATTTTAGATCGTGATCGTATAGAAATAGTCACGTTGCTATGAATTTGATGATTGGTCAATATCGTTTAGTTCTTCCAGTCCATTACCTCTGAATATTCTTTAAACAACCCTAATTACTTCCCGTATGATGCGACTTATATATTATGGAGCCCGTAAGCCCTGCGGCAAACAGATTTTGTGAGTTTCATTGTAAATTATTGTAGGTGATTCACATCGATTTGTGTAAACCTATCGCTTTCAACGAATCTTGATTGCGTACATGAATAAAACAAATGCAATCGGAGTTATTTTTTTAATTATTATTATTTGTATTAACTTGACTTATACAATCCGTTACAGAAGTTTTAAATATATGTTAACAAAGTTCAAAACCATACCACCAGACCAACCAGATGGGGTGAAAATTTAAAACAATTTCATTCCTAAGGTTCAAAGCAGATTTTTTTAAATTTCATCTGCAAAAATCAACCTAGGAGTTCAGGCACCTTTCACTGGAATTCTTCGCGAATACAATAGAATAAACTTTTTAAATTCCGATCTTGATATATTTGGTAGAGGGCTGAAAATTAAAAAAAAAATCCAAATCCGCATTGCCAAGCAAATTTTTAAATTACTAGTAAAAACTAAAATTTGTAGTTAAAAGTGTATGTTTTTTTAATTTTTGTACAATTTATGTTAATAGATTGTAACATATAATGTTGAAATTCATTATATATGATGTGGTGAACATTGTCTATGTGATTTTAGCTAGTAAATGTTTTCATCCAGGTGTTGTGTCATGGGGCAACGGTTGCGCACGCATCGGTTATCCGGGTGTCTACACTCGCATAACAAAATATCTCGCCTGGATAAAGGAGAATACTCAGGATGGATGTTACTGCTCCGATTAATTATTATCAAAAATATTGTATAATAAATGTATTGTAATTCTTCTTCAAAACGCAAATCAGTCTTCACTGCCAAATTATGTTTACGCTAAGCCAGAACATCGCTTACATTAAAACAGTTAAATAAGACTGATTTAGTTTTTATAAGTATTTATTTATTGTCAAAGTTAAATAATTAATTGCATTCACAATATCTAGGGCAAATTTATGATTTTAGCTTAGCGCACACAGGCTTGATAATTTAACTGTGTTTATACAATTTTCCAACAACTTTCCGATAGCTTGACATTTTGAAGGATATTGCAAGCGCGTTCATGTCAAATAGTTTGTTATATTATAAAACAAAAGAGGATCGAAATTATTGACGCAATTAAAAAAATCTTATTAATTCTGTATAGAATATTTGAAAAATCGAATTGTAAATTATTCACGTTTATACAAATCATCGTTTCCATTAAACATTATGAATTCATACCATTATTTGTGTCACTAGACTTTGCTCGTACATATGAAGTAGGCGCTTCTGAAATTATATTAATTGGCTGTAAACGGTTGTAATGCTATACTCAGCTTTCGGAGGAGTTGTCGCCTGAGTCCGGCGGGAGAGGCCAAGCCTTTTAAGCAAATATAGTCCCTTTTCAGGAACATGGAGTTTTGCCTAGCTTTTCAGTCACAGATCTGCCTGATCGCGTACCTGTTAGGCTACTATGTCCTATTAAAAAAAGATTTACTTAAAGTTATGTAACGCACGACATTTTCACTGATAATAGATACAATATTTTATGTAGTAATTATTTGTATAAACTGGAATTACTTATGTATAGATAATAAATAAGCTTTGATTTGCCATATCTATGTATAGAATTAAGATTTTGTAATTTTTATAAATAAATGTGAAGTGATCTCCAATATTGTTTTATTTTTTCAAAGTAATATAACCTGTTTAAACACCTACTTAACTGATTTAAAAATATTTTTTTTAAATATACAGTATTTGGGTAAGATATAGGTAATATATAATTAAATATTAAAGAATTATCCCGATGGTTGCTGTGCTTCACTGTCCTTTCAACTCGTAGACATTGTATAATTGCAAAAAACGTTTTAATTTGGTACAAATGTGTTTAAAGAGTGTGTGTTTGTCTAAAAACAAAGATTTAAATAACGATTTAAGGATTTTTGTACGTTTTCTTCAGCTTACCCATTAATTAAACATAACGGTAATAATAAGCAAATACAGAAATACTTAGACAATATATCAACAAAGGATAATAATTCTGACTCACGGTCATTAAATCGGCAATATATTAGTATTGATACATGAGGTTAATGACACCGGTCGTTGCCAAATAAACTTACTAAAGCCTTCGTTCGGTGACTAAAATGTTGCTTAGCCCGCTTCTAATCTCTTCGACGCGACATTTAGGGTTCCTTAAATGGGACATCTCAAATATTATTTTATTAATTACGTTATACAGCTAATTTACTATATTTGATGAAATGAAATTTAACAAAAAATATTTTTCTTTGATTTTATTAACGCATATTGTTTAATAACCTTTTCTATCCAATTTTTTTTACTCGTCACGTATTTTGTGAAGTTTACGAGTAGAAGCTTAGTTTACAACAAAACCATATTACACAACGATAATGTGTATGTGTATTGTCGATGCCTTAACATGCCGTAAAAATTACAGTAATTATGATTTATTACAGAACAACACTTGATGAAATTAAAAACGGGGTTATCGGCAGGTGGCGCCGTCAGTAACTTTGTATCTCCCGATAACAATACTTCACAGTTTCATGTTGTTACATAAGACATATTAATATCAGGTTATAATAAAAATAATTAAGAAAGTCATAAAAAGAAAATCAAAACAAATTTAAAAAGTTTAGTCCCTGTGGCAGTGAACCTTTAACGGTGGCAGCAATTACTAATACTACCAGGCGCCAACTTTATTATTTAATTAGCGCCTGTGACCTGAACCCCAGCCAGCCCCAGCTTTTTTGCTTGTCCGAGGGAGGTGAGGCGGGGCTAATTAGGTCTGCCACCGCTCTGTGCAGTAAAAAGATTTTACACGTTAGTAATAATAAAATAATAGAAAGCATGCAAGCAAGTTAAAAGACGGAAAATTTTGGGCAACGGCTTTAAATTATTGTATATTTTTACATAAGCACTAAAAGGATTCGCACAAGAACTTACGTTAAATTGATTTTTATGTAATATTCTAATTAACAATACATTTATTATAGCCATACTTTAAATTTGACGCACTACGAGTATCTCATGTCATATACCTTTTGACTGTTAAAACTAACATATATATCTACAGAACTCTAATTGTACGAGAACGTCTTACGCTTATCCCAATATCCTATAACAATACCTGGCGATGTTCAACTGTTTTAAAAGGTATAAAGATTTCGTCCGATGCGTTTAAGTGGTAATAATTTTCGTGTTTTAGTATCAAAAAGCTACATTTTAGGTAGTCAAGTATCCATAAGTACATTGAAGATTGAGAAGCGTGTTAGTGTATCCGAAGCCGTGAACTCACAGCACATAATTATATTTTGAAATTAAATCGTGACGTCATTATTCCCATGGTGATAAAAATGTGGAGATTGTGTTTTGTTTTATATCTATTTATTAATAGCGGAAGATGTATTAGTAAGGTATTGTTTTCAATTGATTTATGTTACTTTCTATTTAATTAAAATAACTTAGAATCGCTTATTACAAGACACTGCACTACGTAATATTTACTATTAATGACAGGGAAAATATATTTTAATTGAATAAAACAATCATACTAAAAATTGCACAATAATGTTTCATATTTCTTGAATAAAATAAAAAATTGTGCAAGTATAAAATTACATGCTTTAATTTTAAAATAATAGAACCTCATAATTTATAAGAATATCTATACTAATATTACAAAGAGGAAAGATTTGTATGTTAGTATGTTTGTAGGGAATTGGCTCAAAAACTACTGGATTGATTTAAAAAATTATTTCACCATTTGAATGCTACATTATCACTGATTAATATTTTAATTTCAAGAAAAAATTAAGGATTCTCAAATTACAATAATGTTATCCAAGCAGTAAAAATCTTTCATCGCATGATGCGCTGCGAAAACGATTGATGATAGAACAAAAAATGTTCCACAATATTAAACAACATATCAATATTTACAAATAAAAAATAAATGTCCGCCCGTGCGAAGCCGGGACGGGCCGCTAGCAGCTAACAAATTGTCCCTAACAACACTTATAATATTAAATTACAAACTTAGATTCTTAAAATTATTATATCATGAGATTTTATATAATTTGTAGGAAGCATTCCGATTCAACCATGATACAAGTTTATATGGCCGTCAAGCTGAGAAGCATCTACCGCCCTGTAGAGACTGCAGTAAGTATAGGAGGGTGTTCGCCCTACACACTTTACTATATAACTATATATATATATATATATATATGTTAGCTTGAACGGTGAAACGTCGTGAGGAAACCGGCACACTTTAGGCCTAAAAAGTTGACGGCGTATCAGGCATAGGCTGATCCTACTTACTTGACTATTAGTAAAAATTTATGATCAGAAAACAGATACAGAAATACGCCCAGGTTGTAGCGCCATTTTTTAAAAAGATTTATTGATTTATTAACACTTCCTTGCAGGAATATAATACAATTGACATAATTAAATGAAAAGGAGGGCAACTGGCGGCCTTATCCCTTTTAAGCGTTCTCTTCCTTCCTCCGATTTAGGATTTTATTGTTTTTATTAGTTTCAGAATATTAAGGTAGTACGGAAACGTAAAAGGTTGTCAACAAAGTCAAAAATTTATAACTCGGCTGATCCGATTTTATGGTTTTTATTTCTGTTGGTTTCGTCTTCTCTCTATTATACGAGTCTCGTATTACGTAATTTACGTATTAAAACGTGAATATAATATAGAAAACATAAGACCATTCGACATTTGGTCCGACATTTCAGCTTTATAGAGTACCTCTAGAATACCTCTAAGACAGTTGCTTCATAAACCATTTTTTGAATATACCTAAAAGGTATTCATGACATAATAAAGTATATACTTACTCTCTAAACATAATGTACTTTACTTAGAGCATCATTAACAAGTAAGATCATGTGAACCTAAGCAATAACTTTTCATCGGATATTGAATTCGTTAGAGCACTATTAGGGAAGTCAAGGTGGTAACATTATATATTTATTATTCATTAAAAGGTTGTGGTGAACGAAACGAAGAGCTTCGAGTGGTTGGTGGTACCGGAAGCAGCGTGAATGCCTTCCCCTGGATAGCTAGATTGTTATACCACCAGTCCTTTGGATGTGGGGCTTCTCTTATCAATGATAGATATGTGGTGTCTGCCGCCCATTGTGTTAAAGGGTAAGTGGCGTAATAAATAATAATAACACATAACATCACAATAACACAAAACAGGATAAACATAAGATTAAATAAATGAAGACTAAGGATGTATTTGAGCGGTCTTTCTACTAAAAGCAGTTTCTTCCAGGCAACCCAAACATATAATATAAACATTTAAAAAAATACGAAATTGTGCGAACTCAGCCCATTTTGTCAAGAGGTGTGTGGCCTAATAAATAATAATAATAGCACTTTCTTAACATCGCTATAACACAAAACAGGAGAAAAATAAGTTATAATGATAACATAAATGAGAATAATGATATAAATGGGCGGGCTTACTGATTACAGCAGTTTCTTCAAGACAACCCTAACATATAATATAAACATTAAAAATATACAATACTGAACTATTCAATGTAAAAACATATGGGTAAATAGAAGATTTGTTAGGGTAAACCGCGATTATGTGATGTCAGTGTATATTGAGGTGATGAAAGACATACCACTTTTTGCATAATGCCTTGTAATATATATACGTTATAAAGCTGTTGTAAGGTTGTAGGGGATATACTCTGGATAACTAATAGAAAGACTAATTATTATTGAGTTTTGATCGTTATTTGTGAGTGTCATAGTCATATTAACCCGAAAAACTAAAATGCTTTTTTGTGCTTCGGATTTGCAAAGTTGGTGAAAAAACGGTCGAACGAGAACGAGAGATTGAGTTCTTGAGAAAAGTTGTAGAGCTTGATAACGCCTACAAAAAAAGGGTGCGTGTACTTACGTACGCGCGTAAGAAGTTATACTTCTTTGGCATTATTAAAAATAGTTTTTGATTGCATGCAAATAATTAATTACAATTAATTAATCAAAGACTGGAAAAGGAGTCATTATAGTCAATAAAGTTCAGTTTACATTTGAAAAATTAAATAAATAAACATTTATTATTATTTTCTTACATTAAGTGTAACATAAATTCTATTATTATTCGAATGTTGTTTTTAAATTATGTCTAATGCCGTAGCATCTTCCGTGGGCAACTTCATTCTGTTAATTTTGCGTCACGGTGCGCGTGCATCGTAAAATTTCACTCTCATCAATTTTTCATAACGCGCCCAAAGAAGTATAACTTCAAAAAGTATAAAGCATAATATGCCTAACAAAAACCAGTCATCCTTCGCGTCTGTTTGCGATAAACTCAAAAACTGAACGGATTCATGAGGAAGGTATATAATTTTTAACTATTTAGGGATCACGGTTGCTCGTGTAAACGGGTCGATAATTTTTAATATAGAATTATTGAGTCTATAATACCTTTTTGTACTATTTTGGTTAAATTCTAATGTTAGTATTAAGTGTTCGAGCCACGTACCTAATTCCATCTGTCATATCAGCGCTACGATTATTAGAGAAATGTACAACTGAATTTCATAATAGTCATTGGCGTCCCATTGTTAGTAGTCAAATGAAAATCAGTGTCGATTTTACAGATAAGACCTGCAGTTTTGTTGTATACAATAAGATACAGAAGTCTGCCTGTTTACTACTTGCTATAAAATAAAAACGTTTAAAGAAAGATCTGCCATCTTCTCAAATCCAAGACCCATGAGTTCCTGACTGTTAAACCGTCACTCCATAAAAAACTAACAAAACATTTATTCCACGGAGACTAAGGCACAGAAGTTTAGTCTGCTTGCCTGTAAAATAAAAAAAATTAAAGAAAGAGATGCAATCTTATCCTCAAATCCAAGACCCATAAATTTTAGAGATATAAACCGCCACTGCATTAAAAAAAACTAACAAAACATTTATTCCACGAGGACAGAAGTAGAGTTATTAAATATAGATGTATATACTAACGTTAAGGAGTTGCTCTGAGATGTACTACGCTATTGCTCCATCATCACCAAATAGGCACAGGGCACCGGCACTAATACAATGTAAATTAAAATAATTAACCCCCTTTGTGATGTCTTCTGTTATTTTCACAGGTTTATGTGGTTCATGTTTCGTGTGAAATTCGGCGAGCACAATCGATGTGAGAGCAAGGCGATGCCGGAAATGCGTTATATTGTGAAGATAATCGCTCATAACTTCACCCTGACCGAGCTTACGAATGACATCACATTACTGCGTCTGAACAAACCTGTTGATTACTCGTATGCTATCCGACCTGTCTGCATACCGCCTATGGAGAGTGAGTATTCATAAAAGACTGTATCTAACAGGGAATTACTTGAAAGTACGGAGTAAATGGTTATCTTAATATATATAAATTACGATTCACGTTCTTTGTCCGCTATGTACTCCTAAACTACCGAACCGATTTCAATCAAATTTGTACTCCGTGTGCAGTTTGATCTAACTTAAAAGATAGGATAGCTTTCATCTCAATTTATACCCGCAATATTATTTTATTGCAAAATATTTGTTTATTATTTGATAGTCACAATTCTAACAGATGGCGCTGTGTTGATAGTTCCAACGTTTCAAATAAGCTACAATTTAATGGCATTACCACCAAAAAAGCATGGTGGTCCCCATGAATGGTGTTCTCCTACCGTTTCCCTTGAATAGGTTGCTACTATGTAATATTATAACTAAAACCTTAGCCACAGCAACGCTTGGCCGGTCTGCTAGTGTATTATAAATGTACCGAAATTAGAGAATTATCACAAATTCAAAACTCTTGTTAAACGTAAATTAATCTTATTGATTATAAATTTGACGATTATTTAAATGATCCGAATCCTTGGATTGATTTTGTGCAGTTCAAATATTTATGCTCTGCCCTACAAACAATTTGTATGACTTAAAACTTGGCGATTAAAAATAGTGGCGAAGACTTTCTTGTCAGTTCTTCTTGCCCGCTCTACACCCTTGACTTGCGAACGAAATATGTAAAAAGTAGTAAATGTAAATTAAGAATCATTTAACATCTTTTTAACTGACGTTCATAAGTGTGATTGGTTACCTATATTAATAAAGTTATTTTGAGTTTGTTCGTGTCCTAAAATCGTATAGTAGGTGGATTTGCTAACACGAAATGGCATTCGGTATCTTCTCTGAACATGTAACATATTAAATTAGGTGTTTATCACCCAGTACAAGGGTATATTTTAGAATGAAATTGTATAATTAAGGTTGTATGTTTCTAAGGCTCGAACCGCACTGGATCAAATGCTTGTTATTGTTCTTTTTTGTCAGCCTCTATGGACTTACAATGACAGAAGTCTCGGTAGTGCGACGCCATCCTTTTAGGATTTAAAATTTTATGACGTTCGCGATATATTAGTATGATGTATAATATTATATATAAATAAAATAAAAAAATAAAATTCACATGATTATGAGTATTTTTATAGATATAAAAAGCGTAAATTTCTCAAGGTAAAACAAAAACATATGCTCGAGAAATGGCAACAGTAGCTGGATGGGGTGCGATGGGTGAAACAGGGAACTGGTCTTGTTCTCTACTGGAAGCACAGTTACCAGTGCTCAGTGAAGAAGAATGTTGGAGCACCAGTTATAATAAATCAAAGATTAGAGACGTGATGCTCTGCGCTGGATATCCTGCCACCGCCCATAAGGACGCCTGTACTGTAAGTATTTAGTGTGGACTTTAGCGTTATGCAATGCACTGTAAGTATGACAAACTCGTTAGTTTAGAAAGGTCGGTGTATATTAAAATCTATGAAGTTTGATTGTTTAATCATGTTGCTCGCTTTTTAGATTCGTCACGCCTGCCATGTTTATATATTCAGATACAACAATTAACCGCAACTGTAACAGTTTGCACTGTGATTATGAAAACAATAATTGTTTGTCTATGATTTCACTCTCTCTCTCTTGTTTACTTGAGCCGGAAATGGTAATTACCTCAGCAGAGCAGTCACGTTTATGATAGCTTTCTGTTCACTAAGAAACAATTATTATTTAGAGTTCAATTCGACATATGAGTTGCGGAGCGGTCCTTAGTATGGAGAACAAAAATGTTTTTTAGGCATAGTGTAAGCTGTATCGAACACGTAATTTTGAATGCATAATCGAGTACGAGTAAAAGTAGGTACTAGAAATAAGGCAATACGATACGATTTTTTGAGATGTATTAGGTTTGATATTAAACATGAATATAGAAGGCTTCTTTCTGAATTTAAAAACTATTTCATATTTCAGGGTGACAGTGGTGGGCCTCTAATAGCTGAAAACCGTGAACACACATATGATTTAATTGGTACGTTGAATGAATTAAGTTCCGAGAAATTTTAGAATTGCAAATATTGAAGTTAACGTTTTAATCTTAGGTATTGTATCCTGGGGTTACGGGTGTGCCAGAAAGGGATTTCCTGGAATCTACACAAGAGTGACCAAGTTCTTGGATTGGATAAGAGATAACACTGCCGATGCTTGTTACTGTGACAATTGATTAAAACGAAGAAATCTTTATTTTAAGACGTACTAAAGCCAGTAAAAATATAATTGCTTCGAAATGATCCAGCAAATTTTAATTTACTGATCAAATTATACCTCGCTTATAAAACTCAATTCAACTTTGTTGCCAATAAATTTTAAATCCTTTCTGGTTTTATTTTAACGCATTAATGAAGTTTTAAATATACTTAAGGCAGGTGCTATATTTCATACTGATTTAGGGTTTTGTGAGACATTTGCGATAAAGGTTTTAAAAGTTTATTTTTGGTCCCTTTATTTTTTCCTTTATGGAAAATGGATATGAACACAAGAGTTTCTTTGTTTTCTATATCTCTTCTTTTTTTTTGATGTTTTTCTGAATTACCAGAGTCGTATGAAGTAAATAATAAATTACCTTATTTAATATATTACCAACACTTACGGTCCCGACAACCTAAGCCTAAGATGGTGCCTAAAGAAATAAAATAGAATATTATCTTCATCCATTTAAAAGAACATACTCTGCTGCATTTAAACGTGTTTATCACCATTTTACTTTAGAACTTTGTATTATAAAACACTTTTTGTTAGTCTAGATGTTTTAAAAATTACTTCACTTCAGAATATTCAATTAGATGCACCGGTTTAACAAACGGAAGGTTGTCATGGATCTATTATTAGATAGAGAACCTTTTTCTTAGGTGTGGTTGCAGGAGCAATGTCCTCATTCTAGTTTGCAACCTCCGAGAGTCGGGACTTTATGTAGTGTTTTCATAGATTTTAAAACACAAGTAAAAATGTGGACACTAAATGTTGTGTTTGTATTGTTTGCGTGTGTTTGTGCTCTGGTAAGTAAAATATTATGTTTTACATTCCTGCTTTAGGTATGTGATCTTAAGGTTTTATTGATAATTTTTTAAAGCATGACATACTAAGAGTTAACACGAAATTTTACTTATTTAAAAAAACACTTAATGATTCCATTTTCAATCAATTAAAATTAGTTTTTTTAGTTTTCGTATTTAGTTAACAATGTTTTTTTTTATACTAAATAAATAGTCATCCATCGGTTATAGTTGTAAAACAACGTGTTGATATTTTTCCTATTTTAACCAAGTTTGATTCTTGGGTCAAGTGTATTTTACCACCGAGCACTTAGTTCGTTAAAGTTCTCAGACATGTCAGAGTTTGGAACGCACAGAACAAGATTGTCACAGTGCTTTTTAAATGAATTATGATAATTACATCCCAATTTTTTACATGGGTGATAAATATTTTAAGGTCACAATAAATTTTATCCAAATTGCTACTTTACCGACTCTTTGGGTAATTTATTGTCAAAGGAATTTATACATGACGTCACTTAGAGAGGGAACTTTAAAATACATTCAAACAATAATCACAATACAGTTTATGAAAGTCATTAAAATTAACAAGGTTTTTTTGTGAAATACTTTTTTTGTATTAACTTTGCCATTTATTCCCATAGACTTTTTATAATCAGTATAATTGTATACAATTATCAATCTATAGGGAGCAGAAATAGAGTCACCAAACGAAGCTATCACATCTAAACTGAAACAGGTGCTTACGGAATCCACGTTTGATGATGAGACTAATAAGATTTGTAATTGTCGTAAGTATTAAGTTTTGATTAAGGCGTAGATTTTCAGAATTTCTTTATTTTAGATATACTATACTTAAATACCTATATAGTAGAGTGCCCGGAGCATTCAAAACCGTAAAACCTCGGATTAGAGTTACAGTGAATGAATTAATATGATCGATGTGGGATATTGTTTTTTAAACTATAAATTGCAATGTTTATCCAAAAATTTTTTGTGCACTCCATTGTTATATTTAAAAAAAAAATATTATTAAAAATTAATGTTTGACCATATATTTTCACTTTAAACAGTATTTTATTTTATTTATATGTTAAATCTTACCTGAGTAGACATATAGGAACATTTTTCAAAGATACCTGTGTATAAAAATAGCAGTAGGGATCTCGAACAGCAGGAGAGCGGAGCGACAGCTGCAATGTACAATGGAATTTCTCGGCCGGTTTAGTTGCAAGTAACACATGTTCTGTGAATATTGTGCTTCTATAACAGTGAAAATTTGTTTTTTTTTTGTGAAAAATTCTTGTATATTTTGGTAGTGGAAGGTGTATTGATGACGAAGTTTTTATATTGAACGTTTTATCTCACACACTGTTTTATTGTGTTTTTTTATATTATTTTTATTACTCTTTAATGTATAATATTCTACGGTTTCGATATTTGTAAATATGTGAGGAACATGTATACAAATTTTTTAGTATAGTAGTTTCATATTAATTCATTCACTGTAACTCTAATCCGAGGTGAAAATCCCCAGGCGCTATACTAATATATCGACAAAAGTTGCGTCTTCAAAATCGTTAGTTAGTTACTTTCACCCAAGAGGTCGATCGATCCCCGATTCCAATGAAATTACTGACTTTGTGCGCATCAAACGCTCATACGGTGAAGGAAATCATCGTGAGGAATCCCGGTTTGTGTCATATTCAAAAATCGACGACTTGTGTCAGCCAGATGGCTGATCACCAACTTGTCTATAAAATAAAAATGATCAGAGAAACTGAGGCAATCTGAGGCCTAGACCCATTTAGGGTACAACCCTCTGAATTAGTTATTATATGTCAGATAGAGGTACCTAATATGTGCAAAGTTGCACTATGCTTCCTGATGCTAGGCTAGCAAAATTATATAGTAAGCATCTAGAAAATGAATAGATTATAAATACGAAATTGCACCCGTATCATCTCGACGTCCGTCGTTCCACAACTGAGCGTTTTTAAGGCAGCTTTTACCGCGCACAACCATTATGTGGCACCAGGTGCCCACTGAAGTATTTCCGAACCAATTCGACTTAGGGTCCTTCAAGAAAAGAGCGTATCAATTCTTAAAAAAATAGGTGAGCCTCCTGCCCGTTTGCTCCCTATACTATAAAAAAAAAAGGGTGCGTGTACTTATGTACGCGCGTAAGAAGTTATACTTCTTTGGCATTATTAAAAATAGGTTTTGATTGAATGCAAATAATTAATTGCAATTAAATAATCAAAGACTGGAAAAGGAGTCATAGTCAATAGCTCAGTTTACATTTGAAAAATTAAATAAATAAATATTTATTATTATTCTCTTACATTAAGTGTAACATAAATTCTATTATTATTCGAATGTTGTTTTAAATTATGTCCAATGCCGTACCATCTTCCGTGGGCAACTTCATTCTGTTAATTTTATGTCACGGTGCGCGCGCATCGTAAAATTTTACTCTCATCAATTTTTCATAACGCGCCTAAAGAAGTATAACTTCAAAAAGATTATATTTAGAACAAAATTATTATATCTCTATTTTTTAATAATATTGTTGAAAATTTTAGTGCTTAAATTATTCGACACATCTTATCAACAAAACAATAGTTATTGAATAATATATGTATGTGGAATAAATAACTCTGTACATAAAACGTGCTGAAATGTATTAGTCACACTTTTCATTATGAAATATGATTAATATAAAATTTATTTGTGAATAATACCGTTTCACTTTTTATTTTCATTCTTGACAACTTGTGAAAATATCATGCATCTAAAAAAAGATTTAGTCTGTGGTTTTAGTTTCATTTGTTTAAATCAGTATTTTGGGACAGGAACTTCTGCGCACTTTACTAAAATTACTGTCATTACTTCTTAAATATCCACAGACAATTTTATTAACAGAGTTTGTCAACGGAAGCCAAGTTAATATTTTAAGCATTATTCTTTTACTTACCTACATTTTACTAACTATTATTATAGAATATAAAAAAAATCAGTTGCGCTACAACCTTTTTAGGTCTGGGCATCAGATTTCTGTATCTGTTTTATGATCATTAGTTAATCTAATAGGCAAGTAGTTCGACTTTTTGGGTCTTAAGCAAGCCGGTCCTCACGATGTTTTCCTTCACCGGTCAAGTGAATGTTATAACTATGATTATATTCTTCCTTCATAGGTTGTGGAGAACGTAACGAAGCATCGCGTATAGTTGGAGGAGTGGAGTCAGCGGTAAACGAGTTCCCATGGGTTGCGCGATTGACTTACTTCAAAAAGTTCTATTGTGGAGGCATGCTCATTAATGACAGATATGTGATGACAGCTGCCCATTGCGTTAAAGGGTAAGGTTATTGACGTACGGAAACTTTCGTTCAGAGTTTGAGCCTCTTCTAGGAAAACAAGATTCTGAAAATTGTACAGTCCAATGCACATTCAGGTTTTAAGTAATAAGTAAAATTTATTTAAAAAAAATAAGAATTGTTATTCTGTGTGCGTGTGTAAAAGCATCCAATTTATGATATCTTTATATACGCCTAGTATAAATTTCATAGCAAAAATATTTGCGTCAACAGTCGCCTTATATTAATATTTACTAAGACATCATGTGACATTACTATAACTAATAAGTAGTTTAGGTCTAACCTAGTTTATTTGATTTACTATAATTTTATATTTTAGTTTGATGTGGTTCATGATAAAGGTGACCCTGGGTGAACATAACCGATGCAATGAAACTCATAGGCCAATCACTAGATTTGTTGTCAACGTCGTGGCCCATAACTTCACTTATGTTGACTTTAGGAATGACTTAGCTCTACTGAAGCTAAATGATAAGGTGGAAATTACGGACACAGTCAAACCAGTATGCTTACCACATAATGATGGTGAGTTTTTCCAATTCACAGAAATATTACAGTACATTTACAGCTTAGAAACTGAACTTTTTTGTATTATATTTGACGAAATTGTAGTTTTTTTAAATAATTAATATTAATAATATTTATGCAATTAAAATAAACATGTGATACTTAAGTGAGTGGGTTTGCGATAAAAAATAGTGTGGAAAACTATTACATGAGTAAGTTACTAAAAAACAAAAAATATTTGTTACATTTATTTTTAACTGTCAATGTTTGATTTTACAAAATTTCCAAAATATTTCAGATAACGAATACATAGGAGTTAAAGCAATAGCTGCAGGTTGGGGATCGATCGGCGAACAAAAAAATCACTCCTGCCACCTTTTAGAAGTGGAATTACCCGTTATAAGTAACCAGGAGTGTAGGGATACGAAATACGAAACCGCTATGATTGCTGATAATATGCTGTGTGCTGGATATCCAGCAGAAGGGAATAGGGATACTTGCCAGGTACTTGTTGATGTAAATTCTTTGATTTAGTATTACAAAATAAATAAACAAATCAATAAGCACATTACTGCTTTGTTTGCAAAAGTTAATAGGAGTTCTAGTATGATTATTTCTTATGAGTTATTCCAGCTGGTATTTCAATCTATTAAATACGCTTTACTATAATTTACAGGGTGACAGTGGCGGGCCATTGTCAGCGGAGAGAACGGATAAACGATACGAATTATTAGGTAACTAAATTACGATAAAACGAATTATAAATTCGGCCCCAGACTCTCACGAGGCGCCTCGTTGGCGCCCGAGCAGATCGAATATTGGCGAGTCGAGGCTGCACGATTAGTAGCCGTCCACACTCTCGCTTGTTAGTTGCTCGCTACATCTACTAGATGGACTGACTGCGGTAGCTACTTCATGTGCCTATCGATACTATACTGCCTAACGTTTATATGACAAATACAAATAAAAAATATCATATCATGCCTGTATAAATATAATTTAATTTAAGCCTTTTCTTTCTTAGGTGTACTCTAAAGATCGCTATTAATGATGATTTTATTCATTGATAAAATTCAATAAAAGCCATACAGAAATTACTCCACTCCATTATAAGGAAACGCAGTATGTAGTTATGTACAGTAGTTAACAATAAAGTGAGTAAGCGTGAGAGTTTCGTTGATGTTCTCGCCTCGCCCGCTCGCGTTCTATGACTCGCGCCCGCGGCGAGGAGAGATAGGTGGCACAAGCGCACCGTTCGCACCCTCGCGCTCGCGTCTTTTCATGTCACCTCCCGGAGAGTGTGGATGGGCAATTATAATTTGGTTATAATTCCTTTAAAATCCAGAATTTTCGTCAGAGGCTTCATTGTTATTGATTTTCAGGCATCGTCTCCTGGGGTATTGGATGCGGTAGGCGTGGTTATCCCGGAGTGTACACCAGAGTGACAAAGTACTTGTATTGGATTAAGCATCACGCACGCCAGGGCTGCTTCTGCAAAGACTAAGACTCCTCGCCTTTCCCAAACCCGTATAGCATTTTGCAAAAGCTAAATAGAAATCCAATCTTACATGATCATTGACGTTATCGTAATTAAAGAGCCCGCATATAACAATTTTTTTTATGTTCAAATGCCTTGGTTACCTTTATTTAAGATAGCCTTAGCTGGCCAAATCGTCAGTAGATTTTTGACAAAGTGACATTATGCGTATTTTAGCGTTGTTGTCTTTATGTTATTTTATGCATATTTCGGTAAGAGAATATAGTTTTTTGTTATTTTATTTATACAAATTGCAATGAATTATTTTTTTAATTAATTTTTTGCAGAACAGTGAAAGTTTAAGTAATTTATTGGGCTATTATTTGGGATTTCGTCGCCTATGCTTGTGCCGTAAGTCAGTTTGTTATTTTAATATAAATTTTATATTATACATGCACTATTAAAGAGCTACAAGCCATATTTCTTTAATAGGACCGTCGTATGACAGGATATTATTTCAAATTTGTGTAATATTTGTAAAATTACTTCTAACTATTATTCATTATTGTTATTTCTTTGTATTCCTTTATTTTGTTTTCTTTTATGTTTTGTGTAAACATTAAAAAATTGTAATTGCTGTATTCTAATAAGTCTTCTGTTTCTTGCCTGCTGATATTTTTACTGTTGATATTTTTTAATTAATATAGTTATTTACAAAATATAATTATTTATAATTATATTTACAGTAATTTATTATTGTATTAGTATAATTTTCTCGTGTAAGTGAATGTTGTGTTCTTAATGAGAACTAAATATCTTATACCGTAAATTTAAAACATTATTTCAGGATGTGGTGTGCAACAAGGTCAGAAAAGTGGAATACATAGTCGAATGCTTGGCGGAGAAACAATTCAGCCTTTGCAAATGCCATGGTTGGTTTATATTCACACAAACAAAACATTTACGGGAACTCTTATATCGAACAGACATGTCATCACAGCTGCCTCTAATCTATATGAGTAAGTATCTATGAGAGTAATTGAATATTTTTAATAATATGGAAGTCTTGCCTTACAGTTATTTGAGACATCTCGATTTGAAGTATTCAAACAACAACTTCATAGTAAAATCACATTTATTATATTTGATAGAAGTAATTAAAATCCTCTTTTAAATCCTACTTCTTACTTACTTACTTCACACGCCAAGTTAATGAACATTTAGCAGCTGTATAAATGAATTTTAGTTTAAAAATATCGTAACTTAATACACACGACAATTGAATTTATCTTTTGATCTACGTAAAATCAGAACCGAATACCGTTGCAAAATTATAACCTATTTGGAGAGAGACTTTACAACTGCTTGGCTCCTGAAATACGGGAAATACTCGTAGTAGCAGTACACCCGTTTCGAACGTTTTCGTCCGTTTTCGATTCGGTAGATGGACGACGGTGGCGTGATACTTTTTATGTTTTTTAATATTATTATTTTTAGTGACATGTATGGTTTTAAAGGGAATAAACTTCTTTAAACTGAATGATGGCTTACTAAAACTCAGGGGCACCTTTCGTTCAAACTAGCCACTCATATTAAGAGACAAAGTAACTATCCATTTAGGATTTATTTGACTTTATACTAAATTCTTCCACCCTCTTCTTCTTTATTAATTCTTATACAAATTAAATTAATTAATTTAAGCATATTACCATCAAAAGTATCAGTGACTTTGGGATCTAATGGACTCTGTGATAAAGCGCCATCAGCGTTCAATGCGAGTGTTGAGGCAATATTAATAAATCCTAAATATTCACCGAGTAGAAAAAACAACGATATTGCATTGATAAAATTACACAATGAAGTTCTATTTACTGCAGTTATTGCTCCAATTTGTATGCCCATATATGGTACGTATAGAACACTATAGAATATTTTTATAGAAAAAGCTTTTTTTGATAGAATTTGATTATTTGATTATTCAATATAGCCTTCGAGACCGAAGATCATACAATTTTTCGGTAACATTTTTAGTAAGATTTGTTATTATTGATATTTGCATTTGTTAAACGGATTTGACTCCATTACTTGGTATCTAGTGTCTACTATCTTTGTTACGCATCATGGTTCAGGATTAGAACATTATTAATCATTCGGTATTTGATCTTATTGTCTAGTTTTGCGGTAATAGACGAAGCATTGTAATCCTTTGATTTAGATTATATCCTGATAAATGTTTGACTTGATCTTTTGACTTATTGAAAGAAATCTTATCTTTAATTAATATGTGTTGCAGATATTGGTAATATACAACAATTAGCAGAAGTAGCATCAGTAGCGACTGACGAGAAAAAGATATCTACGTATTGTGCTGCTCACACCGCATCCTTGCCAATATTATCCGAAAGATCATGTTTATCTGCTATCAACTCCTCATTTGTAACTCCAGATAAAGGTTGTTTGGGTCCCGTTGGTGCTATTGGGACTTTGTGTCAGGTAAATTCAATTTCAATCGAAATTCCATAGAATTCTTTTCGTTGTAGAATTCATTTGGCAATAATAAATAATTTGTCGTCAATACTTTCTCTAACCTTAACAGTATGATTTTATTGTCGGAATGAAAAAATCGAGGTTAATTTAATTTCCACAAAAATCAAGTTTTTAAAACCAACTTCGGTGAATATTTCGCATAAGTTAAACGATATGCAATTTGTTAAGTTTCTACTGCTGTTAAACGTCTTATTTAAGATTTAATCAGGCGCGTTTGGCTTATAACATTTTTTTCATTGCAGTCAGACATAGGTGCACCAGTGATGACGCGTTTTACCACTTTAAGCCCATACAGATTGATTGGAGTATTATCGTCGGCATCGTGTTATGAAAAGCAAACGTCGCTTTATACCAGAATAATAGATCATCTTCCATGGATTCATGAGAATATTCGCCGGGATTGCCAGTGCTTTTAAGACAATAAATATAAATATAAAGAACGACTAACTTATATTAAATAGAATCTTATCTTTTATGCATGTTTTCACTATCACGGATTGTGCTGGTGTTTAATATATGTGACTATAATATGATGACTCGATCTCCCTACTCATAACTCGTACCTCAGGGGAATATACCTATATGAAATCAATATACGGAGAAATGGGTCCCAGAATTTGTAAACATCTTCTGGTCCTACTAATGAGTAATCGATTCCCTATCCTCTTAATCTCTTGCCATCACTTGTTTAATTTTGCACTTTTTCGGTTGTCTCTTACTAATTTAGGAAACATTCTATATAGTTACGCTTTCCAAACTACGTATTGGGTTATTATAACTATGTATTTGACGTCACTCATATAAATATGTATTATTAACTTACTTGACCTTGTGGCCATCATAGCGACTGATTAATATATATAGCGACTGATTAATAACTCTAATGGATGGATTAAAACTATGACATTTGACCACACTATTTAATTATGCATTATGTATTGCTTTACTATTTACACAGAATTTTTATTAATCACTTAGCAAGTTTATTCGAGAATAGTCGTTTATTGATTGAAAATTAGTCCTGCTTCAGACAGTATGGTATTTGGTGCTGGATACGTAACATTGTAAGTTGGATTTAGAGGATGTAGAGGTCCTATTGCAGTGACACCTAACTTATCTTCATCATTACCTAGGTAGTAGTGAGTACCATCACCAACCTTAAGTATACGCTTTGCCACCTGAAAAAAAAGTTCTATTGAAAATCTTAATTTAGAGAATTACAAGTTAATTGAAATTAGAATTAGATATAGTGTAATGGTAACAATATTAATAAAATTAAACTTATAAACATAAACTAATAATAATAAAATAATATACATTGAAATAAATAACGAAACTTAACATAAACTAAAATATATCATTAAAAGGAGTCCCTTTAGGCAAGGTTCCGAAGATACTGGCAGCGTTCCCCCTTTGAATTGCTAGACTAATTCTTTGTCCGAGGTAGCTGCCAGATCTTCGGTCTCCTGTGATGTCGACTAACCTTTTTGAAATTTCAATTAGATTAATTAGAATTAGACACATTTTATTACGCAATGCATTTAACCTAGTCACATACTTGAGAATGTATTTTTTCTATGACTACCTTTGGCGGTCTTGGTATCTCAGCTTCGTTTTTTTTCTATTACAAGGGGTAACCTGATGTTAAGTGTTACCGCCGCCCATAGACACTTACATTGCCAGAGGGCTCGGAAATTCTTTGCCGGCCTTATAAGAATTGGTACGCTCTTTTCTTGAAGGACCCTAAGTCGAATTTGTTCGGAAGTACTTCGATGGGTAGCTTCCACATAGTGGTGGTGCGTGGCAAAAACTGCCCTAAAATAGGCTCAGCCGTGCGATTCTGTTAATCCGTGAGTTCACCTGGCGCTCACAACGCTCCCTTCGTCACTCACTTCATTTTTGGAATCTCATGGTATTCTGCTAAATAGCTTGTAGTTTATTGTTTATCAGAATGGCAAATCGTAAAATGACTGCTTCACGACTGATTTAAGCGCGACCACCGCTGCGAAAACCGCTGTGTGAGTTCGAAAAGTGAGTTACAGAATCGCAAGGCAGTTGGTGGCGGACGTCCGATGATAATATTCAACTGCAGGTATTAATCCAAACAACTCCTCTCAACACTCCCCGTGGTAAATATGCAGAGAGACACCACATCTCTACGCAACAACGCCAAGGGATCAAGCCGCTCGGCAAGTGACTGGTCGTCGACGTTTCGAACTGCTTATATTCGAAACATTTATTTATTAATTTATTCCTTATTTCCTATTTTTACAGTAACTTAATACTAATACAATAGAAAACTAACGTAAAACATAATATAACCATAACAAGTAAAAACCTAAACCATTTTATAACTAATTATAAATAATGAAATTCTTGTGAATTCAGCCAGTGTGCAACTAAATATATCCGTCTCACAAGCAATAGTGTTTAGGGTGCGCAAAACACGCGTAAATGGTGCTTCTCTAAGTAAGTTCGTCCGCGCCCGAGGCACTGCCAGCAATTGCGACCGCTTACCCCGCCGAGTGTAGTTATTTGGCACACGCAGCCCCAGTCTTTCCAATATTTCCGCATTATAGATTTTACCTCTAAGGATCTTAAAAAAAATATAGCGTGATACTAAGGTCCCTCCTTACCTCTAACTTGTTGTATCCAACCATGCCCAAGACAAACAAAGTTGGATACATTATTGGGTAAAATGGGTACACTCCATACTATATATAAACATTGAGAAATATTTGTTCGACCAAATTAATAACTTGCACAAGACAATATTTTCTTACCATTTCAGGTGATGCTGACTTCAGGTCGTAAGCTAAGCCCCATTTCTCCCATATCTCAATAAATCTCGCTGAAAGGTTGAGGAACTGTGTCAGTTCAGCAGCTTTGTAATCCCAGGGGAAGGTATGATGGTAGTTGTGCCAGCCCTCACCGAATGCTAAAAGCGACACGAACCACGACTCCACAGGCTGAATATTTCTGATGAAAGGAATTTAAAAAACATTTATAACTAACATTAAAAAACTTTTTTCCTTTGAAATCAATAGTTTGTACGTGCCGATCGCAGTGTTTTTATGATTCTTTGAAATGAAAAGTAGGTTGTAAAACACAGAAAGCGTCTCGCCTGTTTGTATAATTTAAAAACAGAAAAGATGTAAAAATTGTTTTGAATGAAAATATTGTAACTTCTAAAAAAATAATATTAATAACTAATTAACTATATAGAACCACAACACATGTGGTACAGATAAAGCAATTAAAAAGAACGGTCTTTATTTTATATTGTGAATGTATATGCAATCTGTTTCTGTCATGAGATTACTTTTAACAGCTTGAGCAATTTTTTGGTGTTATTGTTTCCAGTACCTGAAGTAAACTACAGCCTACACAATAACGACGTACAAACTTAGTTTCATACAACAACGTATTATAGAATTTTCAGTATATAACTATGATAATGAAATACGTACTTGTCATACGGCCGTGTGCCATACAAATGTGCTGCGCTGTTGACAAGCCATGTTCCATTCAACTGAAGAATGTAGCGAGCAAAATAGCAAACCAATAAGGAATTTTTGAACGTCTCTCCCATGTACCATGGTACTATAACTGGTATAAAGAACGCTATTAAACCATATAAATACCAATAATACCTGAAAGAAAATATATATTATCTACCTATTAAATAAATTTAAATACGTGAAAAAATAGTTTCTTTTCATTTTACGCTCATTTTGAAGTATTTTTATATAATTACTAATTAAAAGCCCTTTAATATAAAAAGTGCTTAATCTTCATCATTCTTTAAATTTGAAATGTACCAGTAGGTATTACTTTTAAAGATACGATCGCTATAGCCTGATATTTATAATATGGAAAATAAACAGTTTTTTATAATAAACTGACTGGACCGTTTAACTAAATTAGGTTCTATTTTGCTAAGACACATGTAACAGAAAGAGACAAAAGTACTTTCGGTAAAATGCTGATTTTATTTTTAACAAGCTGGGAATGTGTACTTTACATGCTATGAGATTTAAATATACTAACTTTTTCTGGAACATGACCATTGAGTCAGCTTTAAGATCGCTCATGTCGATATTTTTACCGAATTCCTTAACGTACGGATGTTTTTTTGTCATGAGCCATCCGATATGAGAGAAGAAGAAACCCCTATTCGAGTTATGAGGATCTGCGTCCGTGTCAGAATATCTATGGTGAAGACGGTGATCACGCACCCAAATGTATATAGAATTCTGTAAAGTAACGATTCTTTGTATAACTAGTTTATAAATGGTTATATTACCAGCTTTAGAAATAGATTTTGTTCCTAACATACCAGAATTGGTTTGAAAGGACTTCCATTTACCTATAAAAAATAAATCAGTAGCGCTACAACCTCTTTAGGTCTGGGCCTTAGATGTTTCATGATAATTTTTAAATCAAATAGGAAAGTAGGTGATCGGCCTCCTGACACACGCCGTCGACTTTTTGGGTCTAAAGCAAGCCGGTTACCTCAAGAGGTTTTCCTACACTGTTCGAGCGAATGTTAAATGCGCACGTAGAAAGAAAGTCCATTGATGCACAGCTGGGGATCGAACCTACGACCTCAGGGATGAGAGTCGCACGCTGAAACCACTAGGCCAACACTGCTCTCCATTTTGCTATAGTGTCGTAAAATGTATGTACAAAATAATAAATAATTGTATACCTGTCCAGAACCTGTTTGCATAAGTGTGAGATAAAGTTTTAGTGGTGTTCTTGCTTTATAACTTCTATGGGCAAACAGCCTGTGAGCCCCAGATGTTATACCTTGTCCGAGACAGATCATTAAAACTGTAGCTGAAAAGCAAAATATAAAACGAAAATTAAAAGTAGTTTTAACGATGTTATAAAAAAATAATAATTTCTGTATTTAAGACAATCATAAGTCCATATGTTTATTATTGTGTGAGGCTGCTGCCTCGAATTTTGCGGGCAGCGGGGCGGCAGCGGCTGCGGCGCGGGATCGGCAGGATCTTATGCGTAAAATCAAATGGACCGGTTCTCGAAAACAGCGGCGTGGCAGCGGCGCGAGGGCGGGTAACGAGAGGTGCAATCGCCCGCTCCAGCAGCTGCTCGCAGCAGCCTTAGTTACAATGTTGTTCGATTATATATGAAAGCTACTAAAAAAGTTTGTCAGTCACAAAAATAAACCGATTAAGTTGATTTTAAATAAAGCTTATCTTAAAGACAACATGCCTTTAAATATTGAAGTTTATAAGTGTGCTTTTAGGAAGGAATATCTGGAATTTATATATATGTTTGTTTCGCTTTATATGTTTATGTTACGTAGCCTACCTTTTTAGTAACAACATACGAACATAAGAAACATTATGTTATTCTACCGCATAGAGACTGTTCGCTTTTCCGGAATAAAAACTTTTTATTTTCAAGTATTTATTAGTTGTTTATTTAATAATACATTATAGATACTACATACTTGCAAAATTCAGTTTTACTTTAGAAACTGCAAACTTTATTTAAGATAGTTAGTGACATTTTCATTGTAATGCTTTAAAAACTGGTTTTTACTAGGGATGCATCGATACGCTTTTTTGCCGATACACTTATAGGAATATCGTCGATACCGGTACCGATACCGATACCAACGCTTATTGAATTAAAATTAAATTAAGGTTAAATATATCAAGTTAAGTTAAAGTTTATAATTTTTATTCAAAAAATAGTCACAAACTTTGAATTATTTTAAAGGTTTTGTTACTAAAATTAAGAATTAAGAGTAATAATTAATTTAAAATAAAATAAATAACTGTTAATAATTAAAATTAACAATGATAACATTGTAGTAATTCTGTATTTTATTAAATTTGGTATCGAAAAAATACTAGTCGCGATAGCAGTTAAAAGCCAACTAAATGATCTTCAAATCTACGTTCAATAAAGTTTCAATGATCTCCCGCTAGCCATAATATCTAATAACTATGCGCTGGCAAAGATAGTTGACTCGAGTAAAAATGTTGGTCTACTAATCAATCCAACAAGAGTTTTTCGTACTAACTACTAACTGACGTGAGACTGATCGTAAATTATCGTGATTCATGTGCACTTTTTATTTTTCATGTAGACTTTTTTTAGTTTATATGTAATATGTATTTTTGCCCTCCTTTTCATTTAATTATGTTCAATTTTTATATTGTAATGCAACAAAGTGTTAAAAAATAAATAGTGTTTAGCGAAATGAAATACAAATATACATAAATAATAATTCTTTGTCCCCAAGCGAATGATAGAGACAACAAACTGAATAAAACGCGGGATAATTCGGGCAACAATAATCCGTGGCTCGTTTGCAACAAACTAGATCATACAAAATGCGCGTTTACATTATTTTTTTAAAGCGTGAAATTTGAAAAGTATCGGTGAATCGGCAATGAAAATATCGCCGATATATCGGTATCGGCATCGGTATCGGATGCATCCCTAGTTTTTACGCAATTTCAATTTTTAATTTTCTCTTAGTAAAAACCTTACGCAGACTACAAGGAATAAAAAAAAATCGGCTTCGAGTTTTTTTTTGAGTAACAAATTTTCAACGATTCATTTTTATTTGTATAAATAGATCAATCGATTTTGAATTCTTTCGCTAGTAGAAATCATGGGAATCAAGTCACGATTTTTTTTTGTAACAACTATTAAAAAAACGAAAAAAAAAAGTGTGTGTACTTATGCACACACGTTAGAAGTTATACTTCTTTGCCGTAACAAGATACAACTCTTTTCAAAAAAAATATTTCACGTTTGTAGAAAAAACGACACTGACATTAGAAAAAAGGTATTTAATACATTGAAAGTTTTATTATAACGCATTATCTAGTTAAATAAAGTTTATTTAAATATCACAAAAAACCTAAAATGTTGACTATAGTTAACTTCAGGGTGTCGATTTTTTGTACCGGTGTGCGCGCGCTTCGTAAAAATTTACTTTCACCATTTTCCCCTTACGCGCCAAAAAAAGTATCACTTCAAAAATAACATTCGAAAATTTCTTAATGGATTGTTTTCGGAATATTAGTGGCATGGGTGTCTGCCTAATCTATGTGTTTTATAAGCAATATAAACAACAGTCAAAGAGGCCGACACGAGCAAATGATACAGTATACCTGTTTTTTTTACATTCTTAAATTGACAACGCAGCGGTATCATGGTGGCAGACGTGGTCCTTAATACGTGGGTAACACTGAAAATGTTTAGATGAATATAGATAAAGAGAGAAAGATAATAAATGGCCAGTTAGAAACATTGCTAATGAAAATTTTTTTGAATTATTGAATTCATTTGTCATTTGTTTTTGTGAATTGGGGGGCAAATCTAAAACTCTTGTTACACGTGAAAATGAACCTAACGCGAGAAAATTTTCGGTCAATGATTTATTATGACTTTTGTTGTGGGCTTACTTAACATGATAGGCTGCGGTTAGCATTTTTAATGAAGCCCCTCTCGCGCCGCTATTTACAATTGGTTAAACGTGGAAATGAAATGAAATGAAATGAAATGAAATAGTTTATTCTTGCAAGTAGGACTATATAAATCACTTTTACAATGTCATCCTAAACTAGATGAAGTCGACATTTCCTAACTGACTGCCCTGAGAAGAAATGTCGAAACAAACTCGGGGGTCTTAGTCTCTTTTATAGTCCAGATAATACAATAATAAATTAATAAATTGGTGTAAACAAATGCAGAGTATTTACTGGACTGGTCTTTGGAAGAAAGAACCAGATCGATCTGAGCAAGCCTGTGCCAGCAGACGGCAAGCATGCCCCGAATAGCTCATGCAGCTCAACCATTTTTGAGGGAGCTGCACAACCCGGTACACAGCAATACCGCCAGTGGCACCATAAAAATATGTGGGGCAACAACTCACTCAGATCGCCAGCCCAAAATAACTATATACTAAAATGTATCAAATTATAAATCAAGCAAAAGAGTTTATGATATACCCGCATAATGTTTACACTTACAATGGATACAAAATGTATTTTTAAGGTGTACCTTAAAGCAAGGAAAAAATAATGAAATTGAAAAATATAATCTTAATATAAACATTATTCACTTGGCATGTCAAAGTGTAAAATATTGTATGCAAAAGCACAAAACATGTCAGTATTGTAGAAAAGAAAAATGAATATGCACTAAGCACAAAACATGTCAGTAATGTAGAGAAAAAAAAATGTAAAAAAATGAATATGCACTAATATAAGCACAAACATGTCAATAGAATAAAATAAAATGCATATGCAAAAGCACAAGACATGTCAGATTGTAAATATGTACAACATGCAAAAAAAAAAAAAAAAAGTGAAAGACAGCTTAAAAAAACACAAGCGATAGCTGTATAAGCGAGCAGCTCAATCCCAGGCGTTTCTATCATTTAAATAATCGGATATCCTGTAATATCCTTTAGTTAATAATTTTGATTTAATAAAAAATTTAAATTTCTTAAGGGGAAGTTTACGAACATCCATAGGAAGTTTATTGTAAAAGCGTATACATTGACCCATGAACGAGTTGCTTATTCTATGAAGGCGAGTAGCATGAACTGTTAAACTATTTTTGTTCCTAGTATTTCGGGAGTGAAGATCAGACAATTTGACAAAATCAGGTTCGTTTTTGTGAACATAAAGTAAATTTTCAAAAATATATTGTGAAGTTACAGTCAGAATGTTTATCTCTTTGAATTTCTCTCGGAGAGAAACTCTAGGACCCAGGTTATATATAGCGCGAACAGCTCTTTTTTGTAATAAGAAGATTGTATTAATATCCGCACAGTTTCCCCAAAGGAGAATGCCGTACGTCATCAAGCTATGAATATGGATATAGCAATCTCAATGATGATCCGAGTGAGGGACGTCCTTTAACAGCGACAACTGAAGATACCATGGGTGCTATGCGACGCATGATAGAGGAAGATAAGAGAGTGACCTATTAGCAGATACGGGCAAGCCTAGGCATTGGTGTGAGTCAAGTTCAAAAAATATTACAAGAACTTTTAGGCGTCAGGAAGCATTGTACCAGATGGATTCCCTATACTTTAACCGACGACCAGAAACACCTTCGTATCGACTGGTGTCGCCAAATGTTATTTAGGCGACTTAGATAAGTTCAACGGCGGTGACTCAAATGCTGTATTTGACATTGTCACAGGTGATGAAAGCTGGATATAATTGCTACGAACCTGGAACCAAAAGACAATCAGCTCAGTGGGTGTTTCCTTTCGAGGATTGTCCAACTAAGGTAAAGAAAGGAAGAAGTCAAGGAAGAAAGATGATTGCCTCATTCTTTGGTCGGAATGGTAATTTCGCGACAGTTGTGCTAGAAGATGGAGGGACAGTTACTGCAGACTGGTATGTCAATCGCTGTTTGTCTGTTATATTGGAAAAAAAATTGACAGCAGCGCCCTCGATGCAGGATCCTCCTTCACCACGACAATGCTTCAGCGCACTCCGCAATACGGACTCTTGAATATTTGACTATGACAGGTGTCGAGATAATAAGTCATCCGCCATACAGTCCTGACCTGGCGTCCTGGGACTTTCATTTATTCCCAAGAACTAAAGATATAATTCGAGGTATTCGCGTTGAAGAGAGATCATACGAACCCAGTCAACTTTGGAGCGCTGTAACAGCGTTTCCAATTATAGTCCGGTCAATTTAGACCAAAAAATGAGAGTGAAGTTACATAAAGTCGCAACAAGCTGAATTTCAGTGTTATTGTTCAAAACATAATTATAAACAATGTCTAGAAGTTCCCCATCATTTCCGTGTAAGGAAAAATTTTTATTCCAGGGCAAAGGTAAAAAAAATTAAGTTTTATCATAAAAGTACCTCATACAAAAATTGTAGATCATACAATTATCTATAAAAAATGTATCAATAATTTTTTTTCTTACGAGCCACCGTTTCTGAGATATAACGATTCAAAAAGTTATAAATTCAGCTTGTTGGGACTTTATGTAACTTCGAATGTCTAAATTGACCGGGCTATTAACGAAGTTTAAAAAAATTGTAGATGAACATCTTCTCTCCTGATCCTCTACAAAATTGTTCTGACATAATTTTTTCATAAAATCAAAAGAAAAAAGTTTTTTACATATAACTTTTGAATTTTGGCTTTATGATAAAAAGTCACATATACATAATTGTAGGCAAAGCGGTTTGCTACAAAATGTGGATAGTTTAGGAAATATAGCCAAAAACGTGTTTTCAGCCCTTTTTCCAAGATGGCGGCCAGGGGACAAGGGCGCCAACCCCACAAATTTGGAGTTATGCTTGTATTGACCCCCCTACATGACCCATAAATAAAATTGCGTCCTCTAACAAATGGTGAGTTTGGCCCTCAAATTGTAACATTTTAATGGACTAGAGGAAATTATCTAGATATTTTGCTGTCCGACTCAATAACTATATATTTTACATGCGAACTGTGCGTAAATACATAACTTTTGTAATATATTTACACTAAAAAGTTATACCAAAATAAAATAAATAGTATTATCCAAAACGAATTGTGGTAAAATTGAATAGGTCTTGGTAGTTTCATATAGATACTTTATTAGCCGATCACAGAGGAGGAGATGTATTTTTTTCAAAATTTCGATGTAATTGGTGTTTAATTATTATAAAGTGATTTATAAACATTCGAATAAATATTAATATACCTAATAGTGTTTGTTTAGATAAAATACAACGTCAAAAAAATTAACATCGCTTTGAGACATTTTATTTTTGTGACAATTTTTTTACGTTTTACGTTAGAAAATTCATAAACTTACCCCATGCAAATGTTTTCCAACTAACTCCACCAGTCACTAATATTTTGATTCCCCAAATCCCCATACAGTGCAAAAAAGCAAAAAGAACCACATTCTTCCAGACAATTTCGTGTTTATACGAAAAATCCGTCCCTATATCCTTGCTTGTAATTAGCTCTTTATTTTTTATATTATTAATATTATTCATTTTTGTCGCGGTACTTGGAATAGTTTTTGGTTACTCCCGTGGTTAGCAAACTATGAACGATCCCAATATAAATTTTGGACCAATTATATAAGTAAAAGAATATCGCAATAGGTTGTAGGTAAAATTTAGTTTTCGTTAATAACAAAAATGTCTAAATAGAGTAGTGACCTCGCCAAAACGAGCCAAGCGAAGCCATGCCTTTTCGCAAAATGTTTTGAAATTACAGTCCTTGGCCAGATTTGGCCTGCATCTGAGTTGAATTGGTCTTTAAAAACGTGATGCTTTATTTTTCTTAAAAGGCAAGACATTTTATCACGATGTATTTCCCTACATCACGAGCGAGTGATAAATGCGCACATAGAGAGAAAAGTTTAATCACAGACATTAGGGTTGAGAGTTGCACGCTACAACGTTTGTATTGTATGATGACCCAAACTACTAATGAGGCGTTCAGCAGTCTCATCGCGAAGAAGGCCTACTCCAACTTTTCCAACCTATTTTATTTTGTGCCATTGTCACCCAATTTTTTCCAGCTACCTTTTAGATCCCGTCGGCCTATCGCTCAATCGGTCTGTCCTTGTTCCTTTTTGACCAGTCCATTAGGTTACTGTTTTTGACCATCCGTCATCTGTATAATACCAATACCGTTTAACCCGCTTTCAAGCTTCTTCTTTTCCAGCCTAATCTTCAAGTCGCATACAGTCGCGATTTAGGCGGAATCCCTATCCCTAGGAGATCGTATTGTTCTGGATATATTGTATTAGTTGTACAATGTACGTTTCTATTATTTAGCAGTAACATGAAAGATGAATTAAAAGTCATATGAGGTAAAGCGTAACTTTTGAACTATATTGTATGCAAAATTTCTTTGTGCGTTTTCTATGATGAGTATTATATTATACACGCTAATAGGTGTCGACATTTGTGATAAAAATGTTGACATGAATTATATACTTTTATTATTTTATTAGTAATCATAACAATCAAATTTACAATTTTCTTATAGACCAGGGTAGAAGCCTTTAAAAATAAATAAAAAGTGAAAAAAATAATAGTAGGATGAAACCTATTGGAAAAGGAGGAGAATATTATAAAAATTAAAGGAAAAATAATTTACGGGCGATCTGAGGTCAGGAGGGGGCAGGGGGGAGTTTTAAGGGTAAAAAACGGTTTATCTCGATTTCCGGCAAAACTAAAAGTCCTATGGAAAAAACTCAAATGGCAAAGTTGTAGGTAATAAAAAGATCTAAAACTTTTGTATTTACACATTTTTCACATAACCTCAAAATTTATGTGAAAAATTCAAAAAACCAAGTTTTTGGTTTTTAATTTTTATCTTTTACAAAATTTATTTTTTTCCCACGGTTTTATCCTACTTTTATTTTTTTAGGTTTCAAAAATTATCGACCCTGGTCTATTAACCTACCTAGTAATAATGAAAAATTCATAAGAAAATTAAAACAAATATAAAAGGTTTGGTCCCTGTGGCAGTGGACCTTAAACGCTGGCAGCATTTCCTCGCTGTATTGCGATACTCATTCGTTGAGCGTGAAATGCATCCAGGCTCTGGAGTTACCCTTACTACCAGGCGCCAACGTAAACGTTTAATAACCGTCTGTGCACTTGAACCCCACGGCGCAAGAGTCTACTCCAAAGGGGAAAACATCGAGGTTGTAGGAGGATATTTGAGCCGTTTTTTTTTTTAAGATAAATAAAATTATCTATAAATAAAATTTTAATTGCCTTTGTCTGCCATTTAAATAAACGGAGAAACGGACCTTACTAATTAGAAAGCAAAACATTTATTAATTGTACAAACAACAGTCTGCAATCTGATAAATAATTGATTAATAAAAAGCCCATTCAGAGATTAAACGATACGTTTTCATTAAATGGACATTGGGCTTATTATAATGTACTGTTTTACGTGTAATATTTCGACTTCGAATATCAAATGAGGTCTTTCAACTTCAAAGATTGTAAAGATTGTTTTCAAATATATTTGCATAATTTGTTTAGAATATAGTATATTTCAATAGTAAATTTATGTTCAGGTTGGAGACAAGTAACTTAATAATGGATAATGTATCCTCTATCCTAATTTAAAAAATCAAATAACTCTCTCCGTAGTAGCTTATCATTTAAAAAAATCAAACACACCACTACACAGAATACTCGTCGAACGAGTTTGCTTATCTTGCCGAAGCCGCGTACAAATTATTTGAAGAAGTCTATTAAGTATGATGGTGTGCAATTATATAATCAATTACCGTCTAAAATTCGTAATATTACTAAAACTAAAATTGGGACGGCTGATGGCGACGTTAATCTCGTTCATAGTAATATTAAGTTTCTTATGTAAATAAATTCAATCTTTTTGTAATGAGAAATAAAGTTCTTTAAACATTATTTGCAAAATGTATGAAAATCTTTGATTATTCACTAAAAATTAATTTAGGTTTTAATTAAAAAGTTTTTTATTGCTAGAAAAGCTAGTTGTTTTTATGAATATGACGTTTACGGCACACTTCGTAAATTTTATATTTTGTACTTGTATAAAATGAGGTTTTATATTTTTTTCTACGTTTATTCGTTTCTTAACATAGTAAGTAGCGTGATAAATATAGGAACTTTGTAATGTTTTATCTAGATAGGTCATTAAAGAAAGCGTTTTTTTTCAGATTACAGCAAAAAAATCGAATCATCTTTCTTGTGGTAATAACAAACACTTTCTATATTATTATTAGTTAAAAGTCTTGGCCGCAAATTTCTGTATATATTTACGTATAAATAGCCTTGAATTCTTTTTTTAAATAAAAAAATGGATATAAAAGCTGAGACTATAGATAAATCTTGATACAAGCTTTTATAGAGTATGTGACCTCTTGTATTATCCTCTTTATTTTGAAAAGCCGATATACATGTGATACGGAATATTTTGTCCAGATAAGTATAGAAAGTGGGTTATATACGTTCCTATGATAAATTTAAAAAACTGCAAATTTTTACAGATTTGGTAGTTTGTAGAATCTTGATTGTGTAATTTGACTTTAAATTATAGAATGTGGAATAGCTGGTAAAAATCGTCGAATAGTGGGCGGAACCACTGTTCAACCCCATCAATATCCTTGGCTGGTGTCACTTATGCTTGGCCCAAAGCTTCACTGCGGTGGAGCCATCATAACAGACCAACATATCCTGACCGCTGGTCATTGTATTACGTTTGGGTATGTGTATTCATTCGTGTAATACTTTGACTTCACCTTATTTTTTTTTTAAATAAACTGCTAAAACACCAGACGGTGTACATGCAGCACAGAAACTTACGCCTGACTGAGTGCATTAACTTACGCTTAAGTATGAAACTACGTCTAGAATAATAAGTGCATGTAGTAGTTAGTGAGTGCTTGAAACTACGTCAGAGTTAGTGAGTTTATGAACCTATCACTGAGTTAGTTAGTGCATAAAACTACGTTTGAGTTAGTAAGAGCATGACTCTACGCCAGAGTTAGTGAGTGTATGAACCTATCACTGAGTTAGTGCATAAAACTACGTTTGAGTTAGTAAGAGCATGACTCTACGCCAGAGTTAGTGAGTGTATGAACCTATCACTGAGTTAGTGCATAAAACTATGTTTGAGTTAGTAAGAGCATGACTCTACGCCAGAGTTAGTGAGTTTATGAACCTATGACTGAGTTAGTTAGTGCATAAAACAATTATGAACCTACGACTGTGTGAGTGAATGATTCTGCGCCTGACTTTGTGACATAGCGAAAATTTCACTTAAAAATAAGCATTTATTCATCATTCATCTCGGTACCAAAATATATAATCTTCGGGTCTTTTTCACAGTGTGAGCTACAAAGACTTGACAGTAAACGTTGGGATGCATGACCGTTTAGGGTCGTCGTTTTCTGTGGTGCGGCTAAAACATGGCGTGAAGCACCACGCCTTCACTTCAAATGCCGTACGGGATATAAACGATATTGCTGTTCTGACTTTGGATAGAAAACTAAACTTTTCTGACACTGTACGGCCTATCTGTTTACCCGATGAGAGTAAGTAGGTAATATATAATGCACAGGCAAACTTAAAAATGTCTGTAACAACAGTCACAAGGTCAGTAGAAAAGCACAATTACTTTTTAATTTTATATAGTATAAGTTAAAAGCTTTCGGACGGACTTTAGTAAGAGTCACCAATAGATAGTGTGATTCTTGAGAAAAGTAAGTATAAAATTCATAATGATTTTGTGTAAATTGATTGAAATCACGAATATAGTGGAATTCGTAAAAAATCTTGCCAAAGTACACGAAATTCATGCACGTGAAATTGCAGCCAGTCTGTTTAATAAACAACTTAAAAAATATATTATATATTTCAACTAAATATCGAACATCAGTTTAAAAATTTCGTAATCTAATACATTTCATAATTTCAGAGATTTTATTTTGTAAATCATCTTTGGCTTTTGTATCTACATAAATTATAATTAATAACAAAAATAAGGCTAATTGGGCACTCGCGATACGCCATGCAGGTTTTATTGAATAAATAAAATTTAAATTAAATAAACGATTACAAAGAATACATTTTTTCAGATATGGATTTTCGGGACATGTCTTTAACTGTAGCTGGCTGGGGAAAGACTAGACAAGGAGCCCTGACGTCCTCCCGATATTTATTGGAGACCAGGGTTAAGTTAGTGGATATGCGGACTTGTAGTAAGGCAGCAATTTATAAAGATAATCTTGTAAGAGACACAATGGTCTGTGCTTACAGTCTTGGAAAAGATGCATGCCAAGTGAGTATCATATCTACATACAAAAATTATGTACAAGTACTAAATTGATATTGAAATTGTAAGATTAAAATCCACCAGGATTAAGGCATTTGTGGCAAGCCGTAGCTGACCAACGTGTATCACAATAACGAGAGTTGAAATATGTTTTCAGCAATTTAAAATCAATATAAGCAGACATAAACATAACATTAAATGCTAGGCATTGAAGAGATTCATAGTTTCGTTTATGTTTTATAGGGAGACAGCGGAGGCCCGTTGTTTGCAACACACAATAAAACTCGAAATAAGAAGTGGTACCAAGTTGGTAAGTTATATTTAATAAGCTTTATTTGAATCTTGGACTACGTAATTTACATTTATTTTTTAGGTATAGTTTCATGGGGAATTGACTGCGCAAAGAAAGATTATCCAGGTAAAAGCGTTTTATTTTGTTAATTTTCATAAATTTAAGCCGAATAATAATAATATGAATAATATAACGTCGTAATTTTTTTAAGGTGTGTATACTGTCGTTTCAAAATACGTGTCATGGATTAGACAACAAACTAAAAATGGGACCTATTGCATATAATTACAGTAAGAATATTTGATAAAAACAAAAAGTTGCTTTTAAAACCTGGAATATTTTGACTAAGCGACTTCAATAAAGCTAATGGATGACTTTTACAAAAAAATACTTTTTTTATTTTAATTTTTATTAAAAATATTAAATACCTTATTAATATGTGGTAATTACAATACTTAAATTTATAGTACGTATACCACCAATGTAAACATATGTATAATATTATCACACTCTGTGATTTTCATACATAGGTATCAATTCCTGGGGCGAAGCAATTTCATTTAATCGACAACACAATTTTAAAGTCTTCGTTTCGGTTGTAATACTACCATTACTGAAACAAAATTAATTACTATGATTTATGCTCATTGTAATTCGTTCTTGTTAATCCATTTAATTTTCATTAATTACCTGGAGTTCGATTACATCCGTTAGTTTTTGAATAATATTTATTTGTCCAAATTTAAATTGAATCTTTGTAATCGTTGTTCGTAGCGTACCGTGAAATAGGACGATAAGAAAATTGTAGTATATTTTATGTTAAGCGTATAATTGAAATAAAAAAGCATAAAATGTTGTTGTTTCATTCGAATTATTTTAGATGTTACCGATTACCGAATTTTGTAGATGTCTCACCTACTTAGCAAAGGTTTTAGACACATGCAGAAAATTTTACAACGCACAGCGTATTAAATTTTCAAGGACATTATCGCGTGCATAATTCCTCCGTTCTATGTCTAAAGCGTTAAGTGAATTGAAATCAGTACTAACTGTGTCACCAATTAGAAAACATTATTAACATAAGACAATGTTGTGTTTTGTCCTCGTGATTGCTCAGGTCTGTAGTAGCAAATTATGTCATCTGTGTTATTTTAATTATATTCAGGAATATATTTCCGTGTTTAGGTGGTGCAAATCATCGGATCGGATTGTCGTAAGTTTAGAAATTTAATAATAATTCAACTGTATGAACATCGAAAAAAGTAATTTTGATTTTTTAATGTTAATATATTCATATAAAATATACGAAGCTACTTTATTAATTATTAACAGAAAAACAATAACTAGCCTTAAAGTGTAATAACTAAAATATATTATTAAAATAGCCTTTAGGCAAGGTTCCGAAGATGCAGCGTTCCCCATTTAAATAGCTAGACTAAATCATTGTCCGAGGTAGCTGCTAGCCTGTGATGTCGACTAACCTCTTTGCAATTTCCTTAAAAAGCATTATAGCGCTAGGACCCCACGGACCAACGGTCTCGACACCGAATGGGACAAAATCATTTTTGGAGCCTTTTTTTTCATATAAAATGACATACACGCGACATGTAGTATGACTAAAATATGCAAATACAGCTCAGGTTTTGTTAATGCTAAACTTAGTTCTAATTAACTGAAGTTCTTGTAATAAGATTTAACATAATTACGATTAAATATTAATAGGATTTCTCTACAACAAGTAGTCTTCTTGAGCTAAGAATCTATACGTAGTTAAGTGCTAAGGCAATTTCAATTTCAATGTTTATATTCACATCATACCTTATCATAACGTAACCTAACACCCGTACTCAGAGTATTCAAATTAATATATTTAATATCTATTAAAGCAAAAGGACAAGTTTCGTTTAAGATCTAGGTCTCAGGTTTTGGAATCTCTTTCGTGATCATTTGTTTTCCTAAAGGCAAGTAGGCGATCAACCTGTGCCTGACACGCCGTTGGCTTTTCGGGTCTATGGCCTGCCGGTGCATGATTTTCCTTCACTGAGCGAGTGTACAGAGCGTACGTAGAAAGTCCATTGGTGCATAGCCAGGCTTCATATCTACAACCTCAGGGATATGACTCGCAAGCTGAAGCCAACACAGCTCTTTAATATTAGTGGATTATGAAACAAACTAACGCTATTAAAGTGCGGTGCAATTCTGATACAAAACAAGATTAACAACCTTAGTTTTAACAAATATTTAAATATTTACTAAACGGTTTGGTATTAAAGTAAGCGTAGTTTATAATAGGCATCAAAACATATAGCCTAGAATACATTGCGTCGTGCGTGGCACATTGCGATTCAATGGTTCACGACGCTTGGTGAGCTAATCATTCTCATTTTTATATTATTTAGGCCTGTGACAACTGTTGTCTAAAGACCCAGGTAACTCTATAAAGCGCAAATTCGGCCCCACAAGGAGTACTGTTCTCACCTCTGGGCTGGAACTCCCCAGTACCAGCTCCTTCCGCTTGACCGTATTCCGTATTCAATGAAGAGCGATTCGAATCGACAACGACCAGTCACTTTCCGTGCGGCTTGATCCTTTGGTGATGTGTAGATGTGGGGTCTCTCTGCATCTTCTATCGCATTTACCCTGGAGAGTGTTCAGATGAGTTGTACGGACTAATACTTGCAGCTGAGTTTCATTATCGGACGTCAAGGCAGAATACAAAATACCATCCGTATCACGTCGACGTCCGTCGTTCCATAACTCCACACAGCTGCCCACTAAATTATTTCCGAACCAATTTGACTTAGGGTGCTTTAAGAAAAGAGCGTACCAATTCTTAATAGGCCGGCAATGCACTTGTGAGCCTTCTGGCAATATGAGTGTCAGCGGGTGGTGGTATCACTTAACATCAGGTGAGCCTCCTGCCCGTTTGGCTCCTATTACATAAAAAAAATTGCTAGATTGTGGGAGACCATCGGATTCCATAGTATCAATGAGGATTGTTGGAGGTAGACGAGCAGTGCCACATTCATTTCCATGGACAGTTGCTATCCTTAAAAACGAAAGAATGCATTGCGGTGGAGCGATGATAACCGACAGACATATTCTGAGTGCAGGACACTGTTTTAAATGGTAAGAAATACACGTTATTTTAACAGTTCTGTAAAAACTAGAACCATTATTTATTATTACGAAAAAATATGGAATATATAAATTTCTATCATATGCTGGAATATATTTATTGACACCAAGTGTTTAACTAAAATTATTCGTAATATTTATAAGTTTTAAAATAGTACAGGAATCAAAATGACTGAAACTATGATATCATTATTATATTTTAATTTGAACTTTAACCTTCGACGAAATGCGAAGCCGGCGAATACTAATTTTCGCATAATTCTAATACATTAATTTTTATTTTATTTTACTACGCTTGGAAATTTTAGGGATAACATTCAAGATATGATGGCATTGATTGGTCTGGATAACTTGGACCATTTAGCTGAGGTGGAGAAAAGGAATATATCCAGCGTGAAGATACACGAGCGTTTTACGTCCACTGCGGTTCGCGATGAAAACGACATCGCTATTGCTACTTTAAATATACCAGTGGATTTTAGTGATAACATTGTGCCTATATGCCTTCCGAAACCAGGTAAATGCGAGTGATAAGATTGTGCCCATATGCCTTCCGAAACCAGGTAAATGGGACTAAATTGAACTTGGTGCAACGGGGGATGTACTAAAAAAATTGCGGATCTTGGGCTTAAAGAAATTAACTTTATAATGTTTATTTAATAGTCATTCCTTTTGAGGAACTCTACAAAAGGCCGGTGTGATTTCATAATAGTGCAATTTAAGTATCCGCGCTTGATTATTCTGTATTTAGTAAAAAAAAACTCTTAAAGAAGTACGGCTATCGTAGTGTCGTTGCCACCTTGTCTTCTTGTCTTTTATCACAAGCTTAATAGTTACTTCTCAGATTTCATCCCTCATTAATTTTTCCAGGCCAAGATTTTTCCAATAGGGTAGGCACAATAGTTGGTTGGGGTCGGGTTGGCGTTGAAAAGACGTCTTCAAAGGTGCTCTTAAAGGCGAGCCTACGAATATTAACAGATGAAGAGTGCATCAAGTCGAAACTGTCTCAGCATCTAAAGCCGACCATGATGTGTGCATTCTCGAAGGGAAAAGATGGCTGTCAGGTATTTTCTCTCAATTTTAGGCAGTTTATTATTTAATCCGAGCCAACAAGTTTACAATATGCAATAATTGAAAATTATTATTATAACCCAGTATAATCTTGTTGATTTAAATTAAATGATTGTTAACGTCGTTTTTTTCTTATCGCCATTTTGCATGGAAATAAATGAACAGACTTTTAATTAGTTTTTGTGATTTTGTTGGAAGAGAAACGTCCATTTTTTAAATGCAGTTTTTACGTTTTGTTTATGCACAAAGTATTTTCATGATCAGATTTTTAAAAAATCTAAGTGCAATCTAACTCTCGCCGATCAATCTCAATGAACATGATGTTTGTATCTCAATCTTTAAATCTAAAAATGTAGGGTAAGTTTTAAATATTGTCATTGACACGTTATTGTCTTTTGCAGGGTGATAGTGGAGGTCCACTATTGGTGTTTGAACCAGATGGAAATTACGTTCAAGCAGGTAATGATTCGCAACGAAACGTATAATTTTACTTAACAAATTATAATACAGTTTCAGCCATAACGATTCTTTAACTGCACGCGGGCGGATAGCAACTCGCCCTTGTCTCCCAGTTTTGTGATTGACTAAAGACGCAAGATAGACCAATCGCTGTAGTGGGTGAACGGAAGCTTATACTTGTATAATATAATAGAGATTTCTCATCATAAATGACAAATTGATCACAGAAATTCCAAGAGCAACCAACCACCTAAATAAACCAGAACAATAATAAGAAATTTCCAACTATGAATTCATTTAAATTTAAAATAACCATTTCAACTATTTTTAGGAGTAGTGTCTTGGGGTATCGGATGTGCCGATTCAAGGTATCCAGGTAAGTGATCGTTTTCTTATTATTTGTCTATTGCCAAAATCACGTGTGTAAAAATGTTTGCAATCTATGGTAACTAGACTCTATACTGCGACGTATTTCCTTCATTAAACGGTCACTTTCATAATCGTATATGTATGATTCTTCTCAGTTTGTACCTAACTTGGACACGGGAAGATATTGGGTGTTCTTTTAGCAGGAGAAATGAAAAAATCACTTCTGCTCATTTAACCTTATTGTTAAAAATTACATCTTAAATAGTAGGTAATGAATATTTCGACGTTAATCCTCTCGTTTCACCTTGAAATACTAAGATGAAATAACCGTTTCATTGTATTGTAGACACCATTTACAAAGTTAATAAGGGAGATGTAGGTCTATATTGATTTTCTTATTTTTCTGTTTCAGGCGTTTACACAAAAGTTAGTAACTACATAGATTGGGTCAAACGACATTCTTCCAGTGGGAAAACATGCGAAGCCTAAAATAATATTATGTTTCCGCTACATCTATTTGAATTATTTATTTCAATTTATTGAATTATACCACTTGTGATTATTTAAATAAATACGATTGCTTGTTTGTATACAAACAACAGATTGTCTAGTCTATTGTAAAAAAAATACTTTCCGTTATTTTATTTTAAATACATACCTACTTTCATGAAATCAGTGAGATTCCTATTTAGTATCCAGAGTAGCTACAGCTACTAGGTATGTTATCAGTATGTATTCCAAAGAGATTTAAATATAATATATCGAATCAAAAATGCTAGATACGTATAATTATGTTGAGTCCCAAAATTACATAATTTCAAGTAGATTGACTGTGACTGTGTGTACTCATTTCTGAAAAATAAATAATATAAGAACGCTGAAAAGTCAGTCAGAGTTCGAGATAAAAAAAAACTAGTTCTCCTACTCTAGAGCTAATAAGTGATGGTTTCAACTTCTACGTAGCTTTCACTGGACTTGGTATTAGTAGCTGAAATATGTGAAACTACTCTAAAATGTAGCATTATTTGAAGCACCAAACAATTTAATATCTGCCGTGTAGAGATATATTTCACATTCACTATTAACAGATGTTAATTAATGTATAATTATTATCGGATACGTATGGCGCCAAAAATAATCTTAAATTAATATTGTTCTGTGAAAGGTAGTACGTAGTAATAAGTAATCAGTGGTAGCCTCTTCCAAACCACAACAAATAAAATAATTACGTAATTGTAACTTTTTAAATGATCAGGGCACTTGCACTGGTATGAACCAATCGATGTGGACCGTGTGGACGGCACACATTCATTAAAATTAGCAAGGAGAAAAATCATAGTCAACGAGACAAAGCTGGCTGAATATGTCTATAGTTTTTACTTTTCGCGTAACCTATACAAAATTAATACTGTGGTTCTCGTTACCCGCTAACGTCTATAATCACTGTCAGCTGTCACCTTAGTATCAGTTCTTACCACAGGTTAGAAAGTAATATGTGACTTCTGACAACTAAGCACTGTTCGCTGAAAATATGTTTGGATTCTGGTATTGTAAATTTGTAAATTGTAATTGTATTGAATTAGAAATGGTCGATCTTTGACTTCGCTAAGTTCGCGTTATTTTTGTTTAATTTTTTGACCTACATTTAACAAAGTAAAATTATAAGACAAATGTAGACCTTAAGTATTATCTTTACAATTTAATGTTATTCAAGTTAATTTCTAGTTATTAACGAGAAAGTAATGCTTTAAAATGCCTAGTATTAGAAAATATCGACGTGACACTACCGAAGTTAGCTGTTGCCTTAAATATGTTATTTTTGGAGTGAATGTCCTTTTTTGGGTAAGTAATAAAATAAAAGAATAATATTATAGATTCTGTAGCGGTCACATTTTACGGCGACTAATCTAATCTTACATTACTTGTTTCTTTGTGTGACTCAAGGCTCCATTCACTAAAGTGTTGAATTGGACTTATATCCTGTTTGAAAAGCTTTTGATAATTAAAAAAGATGAAATAGAAATAAAAATAGTTTCACTGCTGTTTCAATAATCAGGAGGTACAAAATATATCAGTATAGTAAAAATCCATACAAATATTTAAAATCTCTCACTGAAGGCCAAACAAAGAGTCAAATTCCCACACAAAGTACTTCATGCTTCTAAAAATATAAATTACAAAAGGGTTTTAATTACAAGTTTATTTTTGAGAAATTATCAACAGCATGTGGACATGTGAACACAGGCTAGACAATTATTTAAGATGGCTTAGACAATATCTCTGTAATGAGAGATGGTCATAGATATAATTTTATATCTTCAAATATAATTGAATCTCAATCTACTTAAATATCTTATCTGCTTTCAAGCAGATTCTTCAGAATGGGATAAGTTGTTTCTTTTTTTAAATTATATCATTCAACTTTTTGTTATTTTGCATAACATATATGATTTTCCTTTCATAATTGTTTTATAAGACATATAATTTATTTAACTTAACAAACCTGTGCTTAATTTTAAATTTCAATAACCCTCTAGTTCAGGACACCATAAGAAAATTTTTACTATTAATTGTAGATAGACCTTGATGGCTGAACTTACCCACAACATTTTGACTAAATCCTAATAAAAATAATATTTTACTTTCAGTTTGGTTTAATGTATTTTTTATGGTAGTAATCTATTCTAAATTGTCTCTTTTAGTTTCTTGGACTTATTGTACTAGCGGTGGGTATTTGGGCATGGACTGAAAAGGACACCTTTAGTAATCTTTCAAGACTCACAAACATTGCATTAGATCCAGCTTTTATATTTATATGTTGTGGTAAGTTAGAAATTAATTAAACTGTTTTGATGTCTAAAGGTGGGAACTGACCAACGTTACGAGGTGTAATGTAACACGTTACATAGCGAGCATTCGTGCAGTCAGTACGTCGTGTTACGGGGAAACCAGCGAGCAACGAGCCGCTCGTTGCTCGCTTAGAGTGCTCCACCCGGCTGTCGGTTTTTCGGCGAATCCTTTGACTGTTACGCGGTTCAGTCAGTACGCGTCGCACGTCGCGAGTGATCATGATTATGATTTTCTATAAATTGTGTCTTTTTTAAGTACTTTTGGTCCAATTAAATTCACGAGTTGTTCAAAATCGATCGAAGACATGCGTACAAAGTTTTTATACTGTCCAGTAATCATTTGGTTTTTTACAATTGCTATCAATGACAAACCACCACATACGCCTCTGTTTTTAAAAAAGTTTGATGTCCAGTAACGTTTTTTCTTCTTCTTAATTTGGATGAAACAATAATTAAGTAGAATCAAAGATACCAACGCGTCCTCGCTGTCGGCCATCTCGTGAACACTGGCGGCGAAAGCGGAGCACAGACGTTTGACGAGCATGTTACGCCGATTTTAAAGCACAGCGTAACATGCTCGATGCGTAACACGCTAGCTGCGAATGCTACATTACACCTCGTAACTTTGGTCAGTTCCCACCTTTAGAACACACATGGCGAACATGACACTGACAAATTGATTTAGTTTTTGGGTAGATTTTATTTTTCATAATCATCATTTTATTTCTATATTATTTACAACCAACACTATGGTGAGCTCAACTCTCTTTAAGTTATATTCTTTATTTTAATTAAGTTTAAGATGTGCAAATAATCAAGGTCCTAAACACTGATTGCTTTTATTGAAGTTATACTTCTTTAGGCGCGTTATGAAAAATTTATGAGAGTGAAATTTTACGATGCGCGCGCACCGTGACACAAAATTAGGAGTGTGATTATAGCGTGCGCGAGCGAGATAGGAATAAGACAATCTACAAGTAAAAAGAAATAGAATATGCGTGAAGTTCGTATGCCAAGAATTTTGAATGACCATAATGACATTTGTCATTTACCTTTTAAACAAATAAAGGAGTTATAATTATTTTTTCAAAGAAATTTAGCAATGCTTTTTGAATTATATATAATCAGAAGTGATTTAAATTGAATATTTAAACCAATACTAATTAATATTTGTGAAAAAACTGTGCTCATCAACCTTCCTAAGTGCTTCATTACAATTGAGGTTAACTATCAGTTTGTTTTATTATTATCGAGTAATGTTTTGATTAAAAAAATTACCACATTGTTTAATCAAAACATGTAATTTTTCTCTAGCAAATATAAGGACAAGAGACAAAAAACAATTGATGAATCAGTGTAAGTGCACTAAATTGAATACAAAAAAAGAGTTGTCATCTTATCGCTGTGAAACATCAAAAACTGGAGGTGGAACAAAGCCAAACTATTCTTAATAATGCCAAAGAAGTATAACTTCTTACGCGCGTACATAAGTACACGCACCCTTTTTTTTATATATTAGAAGAATTGTTTATTAAAAGATTATTTATTTCATTGTCAACAGTTAAAGAAGTTTTAGGGTTTTAAGGGCATTAAGGGTTTTCTAACATAAAAATGTGATATATGTAAAATAATTCCTAAACTGACCTATGTTGTTTGTTCTAATTTAGAATGAAATTAGTATTCTACTCATAACCTACTTTTCAATTTCTTAATTATCTATTGCTAATCATTATTGAGGTAAGGTCAGTGCCGAGCACACAATACAAATGTGCCATTGAAATTTAAGTATCTATGTCAATGAAAACAAAGTAAATTGTGACACTATTTACTTGTATGAACTATTGGCTTGAAATGCTTTAAAAATGTTTTTTACATACAAATTTACATAAAGTTAGAAATATATTTTAATTCTTATCAATTATTACCACCCTTTCTTTTGTGGTCTCCATTGTGGTTTAGGTTTTAATACACTATTTAGTATACTGTGTTTTAGAACCATACTTAGATTATTTTTTATTTTATGCAATATCCTTAAACAATTAATGAACTGTAAATATGAAAAATATGTGCTTTTGTTACAATCAATGAATAATGGAGAGTCCTTGAGAATGTGGTTATATTATAATAAACACTAGAAGGAAGTAAGTTAGTGTAAAGAGGGTTTTAAAGGAAACAAAAATTTGTTTGGCCACAAACTTGTGGCTTGTAATACCTAAAATAATAAATCAATTATTAAGTGTTATAGGTTCTTTAAGTGAATTTACTTCTTCTGACTTTAACAAGTAATTATCACTTTCAGGAACAATTACATTCATTATTGGGTTTACTGGTTGCATTGGAGCATTGCGTGAGAACACATGTTTGCTAGCTTGTGTAAGTTACATTTACTCTTTAAACTGTCTAATTGTTTTCTTATGTAAATTGTCAGATTTTCAATCAAATATTTGTGTAAAATTTTAGTATCCTTGTACCATGAAAAGCTAAAATAAGTGTGCTAATGGTTATTTGTAATTGTTTACAGTATGCTGTTTTTCTTGCCTTATTGCTGCTTGCTGAAATGACAGCTGGCATATTATTCTTCGTCTTCAAAGATTGGGTTAGTTTGCTACTAACATAATTCTAACACTAAACCATTGTAATTTTTACATTAACTTTTATCTGTTTCGTGATTTTTTTCTTAATAGACAGGTAGGTGATCAGCCTACGGTGCGTGACACACGCTGTTGACTTTATAGTTCTAAGGCATGTCGGATTCCTCAAGACGTATTCCTTCACCATACTAACGATTCTTAAAGTTTAAAGTGTTCTTATAATTAAAAATGTTTAGCTGTTTTAAAACCGTCTTGTTTGTTGGTTAATAATACACCTGTAATAATTATTGTAATTCGCGAGAATCCAATAATAAAAACTTGCCAGCTCCACATTGTTTATGATTTGATTAATTTTTTTATAGATTAAAACCCAAGCCACAACTGGATTTCAAACATTTATCACTCACTACAGAGAGGATCCTGACCAACAAAACTTAATTGACTGGATTCAAGAAGAATGGGTATGTATTTTTGACATTTCTAATTCTGTACTAAGTGTCTAGGATTTTTCTAACGGGATTTTTCTAACGGATCATCGCAACGGGCCTATGTTGCGATGATCCATATGATTGTTAATGAGTTAAACGTAACATAATGTATACGTTTGTCGAGGGTTTTATAAAAATTTGCCTTTGTCATCTGTGGTAACCTTTGCGTGATGAAGCGGATGATTAACCAATTCTGTTTTTAAAAAAGTGGCGCTACAACCTTTGGTCTGGTTGTGGTGTTGAGTATTCTCTGCCTGACACATGGTTAATCTAAGGCATAACTTTTACCTCCATGTTTTCCTTCACCGTACGAGCGACTGTTATATGCGCCAGGCGATTGCTACACAGCCGTGATTCGAACTCACCACATCAGGGTTGACTGGCGCACTTTTAATAATATACATATTTAAAGTATACAATTTTCCAGTTACAATGCTGTGGGGTAGAAGGTCCTCGTGACTGGGACAGGAACGCCTACTTCAATTGCTCAAGCGGCGTTGTTGGTTCGCGAGAGGCTTGCGGGGTTCCTTTCAGCTGTTGCCGCACGAAACCGCAAGATATTATACGCAACAAACAGTGCGGTTATGACGTTAGGAAGCCGACTTATGTAAGATTTTCAAAATATTTTAATCGTTTAACTGAAAATCTGTCTCTTTTCCTCATAGTGTAAACGCAATTTGACAGAAAGAGACGAAAGAGTATGTAATTCCTATTAAGAGTATTCTATGTTATCCATATGATTAAAGGGAATGGTGGAGATTTCATTGCCAGCTCTTCTTAAGCCCTTTGGGAACTTAAATGTTAATTTGTGACTTTTAATTTGTTCACATATATAAATTTGTACGCGCTACAACCATTTTAGATCTTGCCCTCAGATTTCTGAATTTGTTTCATGATCATTTGTCAATCTAATTGTCAAGTAGGTGATCAACCTCCTGTGCCTGACACACGCCGCCGTTTTTGGGTCTAAGGCCAGCCGGTTTCGTCACGATGTTTCTGTCACCGTTCGAGTGAATGCTAAATGCGCACATAGTAAGAAAGTCCTTTGGTGCACAGCCGGGATCGAACCCACGACCTCAGGGATGAGAGACGGACGCTGAAGCCGCTAGGCCAACATTGCTCTTATTAATTCACTCATTGGGTGACTACATATAAATAATATATTTTACATAGCAAGTAAGCGAACACGTAATACACGAGCGAGGTTGTTTGGTAGCGGGTGAAGATTGGCTCCAACGACATTTTGCGCCCGTGGCAGCTTCAGTCTTAGGACCATTAGCGTTGCAGGTTCTCACTAAAGATTTTGTGTAATGTGTAGAGACGCAAACTTTATGATCCGTTTTCGCGCGTAAATTACTGTTATTTATTATCTATACTAACTCATACAGCGTTACAGAATATAAAAGTTTGTAAAGGAAAAAAGGGGTGGGGAATAGAACAGAATTTTAATCTATATAAAAACACAGAATTTAGTTACAAAAATATAAGTAAAAAATTACATAGAGCATCTAGTGGGAATGAGGGGACTAATGTTGGATATTGCTTTTCTTCACTTCACACTAGTTAATGATTAATAGACAATAGTGTTTGAATTTTAGTGAAGAAAAATGTAAGCATACTTCACATTCGGCATTTATTTATCAAGAAGCTTGTCTTTTTTTTAACGTCACGTAAGAATGTTTGTAAAGGACGCGTGTATAGTTTTTTCTATGTCAATTTTTTTTTAATTTATCTCTAACCAAAACATTCATACACAATATTAACACTCGGTATTAAGGATGCCACGAGAATTCAAAAGATCCATAAAGTTTGCGTCGGACCAATTATTTATTCATTTGTTTTTAGTTATTAGAACGTGTATTGCGTTGATTTTGCGTGTATGTAAATGTACTTAAGATACATTTAATAAAAGCGCTTGATTCCTTTTGTTGCGTAAAAACATTTGTTATTGATTTTCTCATGATATAACAATGTTTTGTCCTTATCACTCGTATATGAAGCAAGGATGTTTGTATGTTTATGATTTTTTATTTATTTTTCTTTGTTATAGAATTATGATATAGCTAAGATAATATATGAAAAAGGATGTTTAGAGGCTGCTGAAGAATGGTTTGATCACAATTTGTTGGTAGTTGCTACTTCTGCTGTTTGCACTGCTTTTGCACAAGTAAGTATTGAAGCATGCTTTTTGATTCAGAGACGAGAATGCGCTAAGAATGGCTCTCGTATGTTATATTCTGACAAGAACTCATTCTTAGTGTTGAGTGTCCATCTTACACTTGACGTGGGCAAATATGTACTTGTAGGTGCCATGGCATGTTAATGTTTTTATATTAAAAATCACAGGTAATTTTTACGACCATATGTTTATAGATATCGCATTTAATAGATATGTGTACAAAAATCTACGATCCGTAAGAATTACCAGTGGTCTTCTATATGTACAGTAGATATAATTCGCATTTTTATTTTAAACAACATAACCAATTTGCTTAGGGAGCGTTCAAGTATTACGTAACGAATTTTGGGAGGGGGGGTTTATTCCTTTTGTAAAACGTTACGATGCGGGGCGGGGATTGAATTACGCGTTATTTTTTAAATTATTTTCAATTTACCAGTTCCTTACACCACATAATGATAACTTTTAGGCATAAAGAGTCACTGGGTGGTCACAATAAGTTTTACTATTGGGTACAGAAAAACGTTACGGCGCGTTACATTTGGAGAATAATCTCCAAAAATTGCGTAATACGTGAATCCCTTAAGTGGTAAATGCACATAAAGAGTTCTGAGCTATAAGCCATTAACTCCGTGTTCTATATTCGATACCCGCCGAAACATTATTTTAGTTGGTATATCGAAGGCGAAGAATCGTCTGTTAAAATAATTTATCCTAATATAAAATGTCTAATGTTAATTTAAATAACGTTTCAGATTCTTGGAATATGTTTTGCACAGAATCTCCGAGCTGACATATTCGCGCAAAAGTCAAAATGGCACTGACAATCAGCCTCTCCTGCCGCCGTGTGACGTCACAGACGTAACACCCGCGACCTCTATCTGCCGCTCTACACTCACTCCTAATGCCTGGATACGTCCATAGATGGCGCTAACTTCAAGAATCTTACGGTATTATTTTTGTCGTTTAAAAGAAAATATCTTAACTTGTTAAAACACGTTCAGTTTCGCATGGTCACAGTTAAAGTCATATTGGATTTTACATATGCATGGCTGAGCGTTGAGCATGCAAATTAAAAATGTTATAATTAAACAGCTTTTAAGAGTTATGTATTTTCTTTTAATTTGTTATTAATTGTTATAGCTTTAAAATCTTCACAATTTGTCTTTAATCTCGTCTTGCTGCTGTGTGCTTGACTTGGAATTCTTCACCTTTCTCTCTTTAAGAACTCGATGAACAATGTTAGAATTAATGTGGTAAAGGTTGAATCGACTTACTTCTGACATTACTTTTGGTTAAAAAAGGGTCCTAAAGCTACGGTTTCCTAGAAAAGCGGTGCCGTTGTACTCTTGTTGTAGCTTGTCTGTACTCTTTGGATTTGATATTGTACAAAGCTTCATGATTTTTAACAAAATCAATTAATTGTTCAGAATAATGATATGATATGGAATAAAATAAATAAATAAATCATTTTCGCTCTACCAAGTGACATTGTATTAATTAAATATGCGCACCGCTACACGCGAAAAACGTTGAACTACTGTTTATCACCGCTATGACGGCCGTCATGCAAATGACAGCACCGCTATTTGACTTTACGGTGACACTTAACGTTCTCTAGAAAACCTACTCCGATGTTATTTATAGACAACGTATGGGTGACGTCACCCAACATTACATTACGGCCGTTGGATAACGGCACCTTTTTCTAGGAAACCGTAGCTTAACGGTACGAAGTTTTTTTCATAACAACGATACATATGAAAGGGCTTCCGTACTAATTGAAAAGCTCCCGAATTTGTTTGTATCCAACACAAGTCGCACAAGTGATTTTAAATTAAAATCATAGCGATAAATACACTACAAGAATATAATTTGAATACCTTAACGTAGATAAACGCGAATTCATTACATTATTTAAATTCGTGTGCATGTAAACGAAAGACACGAGAATACAGAGTAAGTTGATTGTACCTTCTTTGCGCAAATGAATTTATCAGGGAAACATGATAAATGCTACCTGTTATTAAATTCGTTTGGGCTCTCAAGTGTCGTTTATATACAGGACTCATAATATACATTTTAAATGTACGGATACTAATTATATTTGGACCCAAAAATCTACTTAATAACACTAACGAACTTGACTTACCTATAAGAAACATAATTTGAGGAATAGAGAATAATGAACAGATTATCAATATAGATAAAATATAGATAGTTTAAAAATCAAATATTATTTTGCAAAAGCGCCATTATATTTAAACTTTACTACTACGCAGAATAGATGGCGTAATTTCAATTTTATTTTAAATCTCGTTATGAATCATCTGTTTCCACTTATTGTAACCGAAGGTGATATTTGATTCTGCCAAGAAGTTCATTATTGGAATTGCTATTGAGAGTTACAGCCTACTGGCACAGGTGCAACTTTATTCCCGTATTCATAAAAAATATAATTATTTTTTTATGAATACGGGAATTAGTTTAATTGCACTGTTCTAGTACCGAGTACTGACAATAAAATGTATATTATGAGTTCATTGTATAACAATGTGTTCAAATAATGTCCAAGTTAGCCTTACCAGGAGCTGTGAGATGAATTTAGCGGAGATTTATATTATAATTAGGACTGGCATTTTTGTACTTTGAGCCTCATAGAATAAAGTCAAATACTGCGATCACCTTAACCCTAGATCACTAAACTTTTTTTTTCAAACTCTGTCACTAAACATTAGTCCTACAAACTAACAAAATAAAACCGCAATATTTATCAAAACTAGAGTATTTATTTAGAAAAAGTCTACTTAAAATATGGAATGTCTTTTAAATTACCACATAATAAAACAAAAGGTTAAAAAAAATTATTCTTGGCAGTCGGCACACACTGGAACCGTATGTTCCCCGCAAATCGCCGTCTTGCAGCGGCTGCAAACATATTTAGTCATCCTGTGTTTTTTGTATGGACAAAAAGAACATATTTTACGCTTATTTTGTTGCGCTTGAGAGGTACTAGGAGTAGCATCTTCAATTTTTAAAATATCTTTAATACTAGCTTTTATATCCCTCCTCAAAGTGACAGTGTTATACCGCTCTCGTAACCATGGCTCTATGAGCTTATCGGCTAAACTTTGGACGAAACTCCTACGTCTCATTGGTTTTTGCCGTTCTCTGACCATGTTCGACACATAGATGACATATGAATTAATTAGGCACAGGTTCAAGACATTATAAAACACGCATTGAGGCCATCTATTGGTTTTGCGATTGACACATATAGCTGAGCACATTTGGTCGACAGTGTCGACAGCACCTTTGGTACTATTATAAAAATGTATAATTTCAGGCTTTTTCGAAGTGGAGTTAATGTCTGGCTGACTGTGTACTGTCGAAAGAAGAAATACTGTCTTGTTAGATTTTGGTTTATACGAGACCAGAGTCTTCTCACCATCAAATGCAAACATCGAAGTATGAATCTTTCTTGATTTTTTGTTTTTCATCTCAGGTGGAATCTCTCGCTTATTACTACGTATTGTCCCAACAAGTGTGAGTTTATACGGGTCCTGAAGTAATTCTGAAGCAAGTGGCACTGAAGTGAACCAGTTGTCCATCGTAATATTTCTGTTTGTCCCATAGACAGGCTCACAGAGTTGTTTCACAAAATGTGTGGCAAGAGGCATATTATCGCAATTGGTTCCTTTACCCAAATAAGGCGTAGCATTGTATACGTACTTTGAATTAGAATCTGCAACACAATACAATTTTTATGCCGTACTTGTTAGGCTTATTGGGTATATAAATTCGAAATGGGCAGCGCCCTCTGAACCCAACTAATTGCTCATCGATTGTCAGATAGGAACTTGGCTTGTACCATTGTTTGCAATGACCAATGAATTTCTCCCAGAATTCTCTTATAGGTGCAAATTTATCGGATGCTCTTCTGTCTTGTCTGGTAGCTTTGTCATCAAATCGAAGGCATTTAAGCAAGAAATCAAATCTCTCAGCGCTCATGCAGGCTTTGAAAATGTTACCACTCCTTCTGTCATCAAACAATATTCTCGTGGGTAAATGATTACTTTTTATAGCAGCTGATTGCATAAGAAGACCCAGTATAGCTTTTAGTTCAATAGCTGAAGTTGGAGAAATAGTATGAGTGAGTTCCTTGTACTTCACCTTTTTTATTTCAATCTCTGCATTTGTGTAAATAACAAGTTGGTCAATCATTTCATCAGATAAATACAAATGAAATATTGGAAGTGGTTCTACCAAATCTCTTGCATCACTGTTAGGTCCGGGTACAAAATGAATAATGTTTCGAGCCGATGCACGAGTGTTTGAAGAGCGTGGAGTAGTTGCCCACTTATGTTTGTTTTTTCCATAAATGTATGGTCTCTCAGGTTGTATTACCAGATCCTGGTGAGAAGCTATGGGTGGACAAGGCTGCAAACACTCCAAAGAATCATCATCAGAATCTAGGATTCTGTTTCTGTTACGGCTTCTCCGGGAAACATTTAGATCTTCATCAGAAGAACTCGACGAATCATCTTCAATTTCGTCGGTATCCTCGACTAAGTCCTCCTCTAAGTTGTCATCAGGTTCGGAGTCCGAAGGCACACCAGATGGTCCAAAAAATGGTGAATCGTCATCGTCATTATCTGACTCGTTCAAAATCTGCAATATTTTATCTTGATCTCGTATCAAATCCATCTGTAACAGAAAATACTGCTAAAACAAAATGTTCAAAATCTCATAAAAAAATAAAAAATGATAATAAGTTCATAAAATAAATATTGCTCGTAGTATCACACATATTTATTATTCATTTACATTAATCAGTAATTAGTTATTATAGATAAAATCGTAAATAAAAAGAAATATTTCATAACTTACCTTTCTTCACTTCTTCACTTTACTAAACATTAGCCTGAGAGACTACTATTGCGTAATATCTCTGGAAGTAGGAAGCGTGCGTACGCAATGCGAGTTCACGGGTCACTGATTGGCCGAATTAGGAAGGTACTGAGCGGCTGAGGGGGTGCGGTAACGGGAACATACATAAACAGCGAATGCGTCAGAGTCGTGTAGCCTGTGAGACTAATGTTTAGTGATCTAGGGTTAATATAATGATATAACTCAAAAAATTTGAAAATATTTACACTCGAGTATTTAAGTATGGGCGGTATAATGTTGGTCGCGCGCCGAGCGACAGGAGAATAATGGTTGACAATATAAATAGCCTTTAAAGAAGTATTATTTACATAGATTTAAGATTAGTAATACTCATTTTTATTGATATTCTGGTCTCATACGAAGTCATTGTCAATTGTATATGCATTAAGTCAGTGGCGTAGCGTGGGTGTCGGTCGTCCGGGGCGTAAGACAATTTTGCCGTCCTCTTATTAGGTATTGTAATTTAATGTATACTATACGTAACATATATTAATTCTAATTTCTGCGAGAAAATTTATTTGACTCTTCAAAGGCATTCTCGCTGATTATTAATAATAACAATTCTATAACATAATAAAATACGGAGAATCCCCACTAGTAACAAACCACGGTATTTCCAGCAATCACTACAAAATATCATTAAAAGAAACGATATTTCATCACAAAATAAGTAATGAAACATTCCGTGCTCTTTTCAATAGGTCCGAGTTTCTAGCTACGATACAATTATGAAATGGTTCAAATATTTTTATTGCCTGAACCCCCTACGCTTCGGCCTTCGACACTGCATTAAGTATTGACAGTCGCAAGTAGTTTCAGGTTGACGTACAAGTGGCGTTAAATTGACATTATTGTAAGTTGACACATGAAACTG